CCGACGTGATGTATGGCGCTACCACGCTTGGAATCGGCGCCGAACTCGATTGCGTGTCTCTCGACGTCAAAAAGAGCATGCACCAGACTGACCGCACCCAATATTGGATGTATCATCCCTTCAACAATGCGAGTCGAGAGTGCACGGTGAACATGACTGGCTTGACGCGACCCCACGAATCCATTGCGCTTTCGATTCACTTTCTCTCACCCTCGGCTTCTTCCGACCGGGACGAGTGTCAGGAGTCGACCTTCATCGTGGTCGGCCGGTGGAACTATACCGCTGCGTCAGCCTATACCAGCGAAAATACCATCGCTCTTCACTGCGAGCCGAGGGTGCAGATGCAAAATTTCAGCGTTACATTTGATCAACGCGGTCAAATATCCGATGTCGACCCGCTTGACGGGACGTCCATCACCTCTGGTGCCATGTATGAGAATGCTACCGCGGCCATGGGACAGTTCAACAAGATCTTTGCCGCTATCCCGCAGAGCTTTGTTGGGGAAGAACCGGGGCACAACGGTTCTTATGTGTCCTCGTACGATTGGGCCGGGTTCCTGGTGGCCCGGCTGTACAAACAGAGCCAGACGCATATTATACCTCTGCAGGTTGAGGCCCTGATGGAGCATTCCAAGGAGGTATATCAATGGGTATACACTACCTACTTCTCGGTGTGGCGAAACATGTATCTTTTGCCATTGAAAGAGGCCCGTCCCGCCGCCAACGGGACGGTGATCTCGAACACGTGGGCTATGGTCCCGTCCGTGCCATCGCTAGCCATTGCCCTCATCATCATCGCATTGGATACGGTGGTGGTGCTGGTGGTCTTTGGCAAACGACGCGGACGGTTCCGGGGCCCACGCATGCCCCGGTCGATCGGGGCGATCATCCCGTGGATCGCCAATAGTCGCATGTTGGGCGACTTCACCAACACCTACGCGATGCCCAACTCGCAGCGGCGGGAGCATACCACGCGGCTGAACAAACGGTATGCATTCCGGACGTTCCTACAGGACGACGGGCGGTTGCGGTATGCGGTGGACGAGGAGCCGCTGGTGGTTGAGGATAAACCTCTTCCGGAAGGGGGCGAACATACAGGGGAGGAGGCGAAAGGGGCTGAGGTGATCGAGCTGCAGCCGATGGGCGAGCCGGAGACGCCTCCTGCTCGGCCGGAATCATGAAGTTATGCGAGATGTCATGAACAATTAATGATGTAACAGTATTAGCATTGGACCGGGTATGATGGTTAGCATGGGCTGGTTGGTCTGGGCTGGGTGCCATCAGGATTTGATTGGGTTTGGAGTCACATAGATTTGGAGTCTGCAATTTTTGTACATAGATCTGGTTGTATAGGGATAATGGTTATGATAAATTCTTGATCAGTGCGTGGATGAGGAATGAGGACATTCACTGCCTTCTATTGTAGTGATTTCTATAGATTTCTGTAGTGAATGGAAGGAGTAGAGAGGTTATTCACTTCAATTATTACAGTGAAGACCACGCTCCTCTTGCCTTTCCTGTTGATCAACCATGGAATTCTCATCCCCTCCACCTCCTTCCTCAACTATACTTCTTACCTCCCAGACAGCATCCCATCCACACTTTTCTGTCAACGCGACCGTGACAAGCCTGATTATTACACTGCGAATCGTCACAGGGAGACGTTGGTGATATCCTCATACTTGATATGTTCTCGCTGTCTCTGACGGTCCGCAAAAAGCTATTTTCTCAGATATGGTCCCTGCAAACCAGAGTTCGGGTTTGAACTAGAATGCCACGTCATTCAGAACTCCAACCCCAAGCTCCTCAAAACCTGGAGATTCGCAGTCTTCGCGATAGGATGGAGAGCTACGAGGGGGGAAGCTACTACCATAGTCTGCTGTATGTACATTCCTTCGCTCATTGACCAAGGTGGAAGGGGCCCTTGTAACAACTCTGGGCTGGGTATTTCCTCTGGTCAGGAAGAAAGGCTGCTCTCGGTGGTCCCCGAGTCGTTCTTTGGCGCCAGCGGTGTTCTGGGTGCGTACGCATTTCTCTTTCTTTTTCCCTTGTCTTTCGTCGGTCACCCTATACCATGTTGACATCTCGCCAACTCACTTCTTACTCCCAGATTTAAGAGAGTATTTTGACCCCCGAGAGAATGCCTATCGATGGGAGAAATGCTTTGACCTGGCGGACGGCCCTGATACCCCAGGCACGAGTACATCCGGTGCTCACGCTTCAGGCCAACCATATCTGACTGAAGGCGTCGACGTCGGACATGGTCGTCGTCGGCCCCCGCCAGTGTCGGATCCTTCCGATGGACTCGGTCACTTGCCATCCCCAACCTTTTAGAATAAATCGCCACGAGGCGTGGCTGTGACTCGGCCATCTTACGTCAGTACAGCCTTTGATTGAGAGCAAATGAGTAGATAAGTGGGAGTCATTTGTGAGCAATAGCTCGGCCGACGAGCGATCGGGTGAATTCACGAGTTGCCTTGTTGGTCGCCCGCCGGTGCCCGTGGCGATGGCCAGCCCTGCCGATTGGCTCGAGTGGCATGGGGCCCCATGCAGCGAGGGTGCAGATTGTCGAGGGTCTATCGATGCAGGCTGGCATCATGCTGGGTGATCTGTCACATCGCCGCGGTATGATTGGAAGAAGGAGCAAGAACACCCGTTTCTGCCAGATGGCATTTGCCTCACAGCATTCAAGGAGACGCACCACGGAAGGCGAACCAAAGCGAAATTGAGTCAGTCACTGTGAACTGCACTGGAGGCTGAGTGTTCTTAGTGGATGGCCTTAACCAGGGTGCGAGCCAATGGTCAGCCCTGCAACGGGGTCAGATGCATAAGGCCACCACTGCATGGATGGGGGCGGCCGGATCGACGGCCAGCGAAGTTTGTGCTCTCAACCACCGTTGCTGCACCCTTACCGGGCGGCGGAATAGATTGGTCAATTTTTGGGCTGATAGATTGGCCAAATCCCTGTTCTCTATTTGTGGATGGGTGGGATACAGGCTCTGCCCCTCAGCCACGATGCAGGGCTATTGGCAGGTTGCCCGATTCAGCTGGTGTGGTCGACAGCCTGGAGGCATCTCCGTAAGATATAAGGACCTCACCACGCAGATCTTGATCGGAGTTCGTCCACTTCAACCACACCCCAAATCGAACCATGACTTACGATCCATGCGACTGCGACCGGCCGCCGGTGCACAACAAACCCACCCAAGAGCTGGTGCTCTGTTTCGACGGCACAGGGAATACGTTTCGGGTTGACGGCGGCGAGAGCAATATCCTCAAGATCTTTCGAATGCTGGACCGCAGCAAAGAGAATCGATGTAAGCCTTGTGTCTTCAGTAGTCAACTTTCAAAACATACTAACCAACCCTCTTCCCAGACTGCTACTACCAACGTATGTCCCCCCCCCCCAACCTCCCTTATTGCCTCTTCCACACCTACTAACCCTCCCAAGCCGGCATCGGCACCGACATAACCCCGGGAACATTCGCCAACGCCGCCTTCCGGCCCTTCAGCAATCTGCCCGCCAGCAAAGTCATCGACCAAGCCCTAGCAACCTCCTTCGACCAACACGTCATCGGCGGCTACCGCTTTTTAGCGAGGCGCTGGCGCCCCGGCAGCCACATCTACCTCTTCGGCTTCTCACGGGGCGCGTACACGGCACGCTTCCTCAACGAAATGCTCGACTTCGTGGGCCTCATCTCCGCCGACAACGAAGAACTCATCCCCTTCGTATGGCAAGCATTCCTGTCGTGGAAATACGCGCACGGGGAGCGCGAAGCCCGCCAAGCCGACAACTTCCTCCGCCTATGCCGGGACACGATGTGCCGGTCCGTCGGACTCGTCCATTTTCTGGGGTTGTTCGACACCGTCAACAGCGTCGCCGAATTCAACAAGGACGTGCTGAAAGATATGGAGACGATGCCCCGCCCGCGCTACATGCGGCACGCGGTGAGCATCGACGAGAAGCGCATCAAGTTCCAGCCCGTGCTGTTCGAGCGGCTGCGCGGCGCGCACGCGAAGAAGGGGCGCGTGAGTACGTGGGCCGAGCGGGCGGAGCAGCAGTTCTGGGGGATGCCGTTGAGCCCCGTGCTGGATACGGATTTCGAGGAGGTGTATTTCGCGGGCGATCATAGTGATGTCGGGGGCGGGCATCCTCCTGCGTATGCAGGGGAAGGGGCGAGGAGTTGGCCTGTCAGTCAGATTCCGTTGATGTGGATGGTACAGGAGGCGACGCATGTGGGGTTGACGTTTGATCCGGTGCAGTTGCAGGAGTTGGGGTGTTATTTGGTTCCGGTTTCTTCGGCGACTTCTTCTTCGGAGGATGGGGATGATGATGATGGTAGGGAGGGGAGGTTGATCGAGGTAGAGGACGTGGCAAAGCAACAACAACAGTCACAGCAACAGCAACAACTCATGGAATTCGACCCCGCGATTGTGCACATGGCCGAACGCGCCCCGCTGCACGATTCCCTCGAGTACGACTCCGGGAAAGGCGTCGAGACGCTCTTCTGGCGGTTACTCGAGTGTCTGCCCATGAAACGCCCCAAGGTGAACCGCGACGGCTCCGTGAAGGAAACCCGGTGGCACGTCGGGGGCCTGCGGCGACCGCTGCCGGACGGGGCGCGCATCCACGCCAGTGTGATCCACCGGCTGCAGCAGGACCCGGAGTATCGGCCGTATAACCTGGGGTTGGGGCACAAGCGGGTACCGACGACCACGTCGCTGGACCGGCATCAGCATCAGATCGAGCGGAGGGATATCGGGCAGTGGCGACGGATGCAGCATGGGGGACTGTGTGATTACTACGTGCAGGTGCAGGGGCCTTTGCCAGGGGGGAGTGCGGGGGGTTCGCGGTGTGCGTCGAGAAAGAGTACTGCCTAGGGTTGCTGCTGTGAATGTGTATGCTAGTGGGGTGTTTGTTTACAATGTTTTCCCTCATCCCTATCCTTGTTACGACTCACGCAATTCAAAGTAACAAGCAGGCAGGTATGGTAGACTCGATGGCAATTCATATTCATTAATACATACAGTCCATATTACATCTATCCCCAGCCAGCCCCCTTTCTAACATCGTCATGATCACCCCCGTAGTACCCCTAGAATAGGATACGCTCAGAAAAGCTTATACCCACCGGGCATCAACGTCTGAAACACCCCCTCAGGATCATAAGCACTGGCAATCTCCTTCAACTTCTCCAGATTCTCACTCCCATAGCCCGAGTAAATCTCCTGGAACCACGCCGCATCACCCATGTAGTTGAAGGGATCATACAACCCGGCCGCATCGGTAGCGTTGTTAATCAACTCGGTCGTCTCGACGACCCACTCGCCGACGATGGAGTCGTACTCGCTGCCAATCCACTCGACCACCTCGGCGTAGCACAGGTAGTTCTGGGTGGCGTCGAGGCCCAGCGCGTTGCCGCCGCGGGCGGTGGAGGCGTTGATCCAGTTGGCGCCGATGGGCTGCCAGTCCAGCTCGATGATGGAGATGTTGGCGCTCGGGATTTGGGCGTAGAGCTTGGGGAGTTGGGCGGCGAAGGTCGCGTTGATGATTTGCACACCCTCTAGGAGGGAGTCGTAGGTTGTCGCTTTGATAGTGCCGGCCACGAAGATGTCGCTTTTTACTTTGTTAGTGTTCTGCAAGAGGTGGAGGGTTTAGGGTTTGGGGATAGGATGGAGGGGAGCGGGCTGGGCTGGGCTGGGCTAAAGTCTGGGCTAAAGGCTGGGTAAGGATGGGACATACTTGATGTGCGGCGTGACCACCTCACCCATCTCGACGGCCATCTCCGCCACGGTCTTGAAGGCCATCGTGTTCGACACGGCCGGGATATCGGTGAACACCTTGAGCGCGTCGGGGTAGCTGACGTCGGGGCTGTCGTAGAACAGAATCACCGAGGCCACTGCCGAGTCCTCGGAGGGAACCACGGCGGGCACCACGTGGGTCTTGGGGTCGGTGTTGTTGGCGGCAAACGCAGCCGTTGCCTGTTCTTCTCATCAGTCCTCTACTCCTCTACTCGGTCTCATGATCCACCCGGTGGGAAAAACATACGGCCAAGAAATCAGGGATATACTCCTCCGCCACCGTCCAGGTGCCCGCCCACACCTGGGTGGAGGCGATGGTCTCGATATCGAAGCGCGTCACGATGCCGAAGTTGCTGCTGCCGCCCTTCAGGGCCCAGAAGAGGTCCGCGTGCGAGGTGGCGTTGGCCTCGACGATGGTGCCGTTGGCCAGCACGACCTCGTAGTTGATCACCGAGTCGCAGGAGAACCCGACCTGGTTGCCGTAGTAGTTTACGCCGCCGGCCAGGAGCAGGCCCGGCACGCCGACGGGGCCGAGACGGCCTCCGGGGACGGTGAGGCTGTAAGGTTCCAGGTAGTCGTAGACTTCTTGCCAGCTATCTTACATGTCAGTACTTCTCGAACGAGAGAGGACAGGAAGGGAGGGCAAGGGGAAGGGGGAGGGGGGTGGGGCGCAAAGGCAACGAACCGGAAGCCAGGACCCATGTGCAGCAGCGACTGATCGGCGTTCAACTCCAGGGTGGTCAGGTTCGACATGACGATCAGCACGCCGTCGTCGATGTTGTTGGATCCCTGTCGATCATTTCGTTAGCGTTTCACTTTTATCCTGTGCTTGTTATCTGTGAACGGAAAAAGGTGAAGGCACTGCAGCATACCCGAATGCCCATGTGGCCACCACCGCGCACGGCGAACTCGGCCTGCGCCGCCACCAGCTTGTCAATGCCCCGCGCCAGCTGCGCGCTCGACTGCGGCCGGAACACGCACCCGGGCGCCATGATCTCGGTGTTGGACCAGAAGTTCTGCGCCTCGTACTCGTACACCGTCGTGCTGGGCAGGTAGACCTCGTCCAGGGCGCCTTTCAGCACGGTGCAGCCCTTGGTGAGGTTGCTGGCGCCGGCGAGGCCGGCGAGCGGGAGGACGGTGGTGAATTTCATGGTGAAATTCTCACGATAGTAAAACAAAATGGGAAACGGGACAAAGGAGATGAGAATTGAATCCTGAGAGACCAAAGAAAAATGGGGACAAGGTGAGGCTTTTAAAGGCTACGGGCTACAGCCTAGCTGGCGTTGGGGGAACGAACGATAACCTCCGAACTCAATTGCAAGCCAAGTGATCAGGCCAGACTCATCGCAGTAAGGTCGATGCAGGCACTCCGCGGAACGACCAGCCCAGAAAAAAAGTGGAGGAGCTGCGTTTGCATGAATCAGTTGTGCCTGATCGGAGTGGAGACCAGAAGACGAAGGAACACAACACAGAATGCGTGCAGAAGAAAAACGGGCTCACCGCGCAGAAGCAAGGCGGAAGGACAGAAGAATGGTTCTAGTCTGGTTTGCTAAGCTACACCCGGCTTAGCGATTTTGCTAGATCACTGGACTACAAACGGGCGTGGATGGAAAGGGATTAGAGTCGCTGCAATAGTCTCGAAAGTGGGGAACTTATCGCCCGGGTTGGGGGGAAGCAGGCAATAGCCGAGGGGGCCACTAACTTACCACCCACGTGGAAGAAGGATTGCGCCAATAGACTGGCCTTCTCATACACTGCCGCTATCTTATACAGATGTTACGGCACTGTGCATAGTGCTTCTGCACGGTTCGGAACCCATTTCCTTGCCGGAGGATGATGCCGTGCGTGCAGAACGAGGTGAGCCGTTCGGAGGGCCGCGGGCTGTTGGTGGGTGTCTTCCGGATCAAGTACCGCATCTGGATGGTTCGGCGTAGCCCTAATCCCCTACTGAAATTTCCCCCTGTCTCGTCTAGACAGCTGTCACTTGGATTAGAGATTAAGTAAATTCCAACCTGCGATACAATGCGGTCGTGTCCCCTCTTAACGCCGTGATTACCAAGCAAGAGCAAGCACCGACCTGATCCACTCGCTGACACCGACACTGACAGCACATGGCGCCATGACAGCTCCACCGGCCCAGAAACAAAACAAAAAAAAAGAAAATGCAGAAGACAAAAATAGAAGAAAAAGTCCATGAATTATGCATCAATATACCGGATCATCAGCTATCGCAGGTCCGTATTACTATCCACATTAAACTCCACCGTCCGGATAATCCCCTCCGTGCTGCCCTTGCTGCGATGCAACGTGGCCCCCGGCGTCGTCGTGCCCGGTAAGATATGCTCCTCGCTATCGTCGTTGGTGCCCCCGTGCAGTCGAGTGGAGTAGTGGTTGCTGGCGGGCGCGAACTCGGGCGCATCGCGGGGGATGGAGCCCAGCGGGTGGCCGTATTTGCGCGAGGCCGACTCGTGGTAGCCGCCGCTGTGCGTCGAGAGACCCAGCAGGCGGGGGAAGTAGCGGCGCACGAAGGGGCGCATGGCGGTCGTGCACCCGCCGATGATCCCTAGGTTGAGCTCGATGGTGCACCACATGAGTGCGTTGGTCGTGGTCCCTGTGCTTTTCTTAGTCTCCATTCTTATGGTGGGATGAGGAAGAGCGAGAGGCGGGAGCGTACAAGTGAGGTCGGTGCTTTCGAGCAGGGTGTATAAACTGGAGAGACGGATGCAGCTGATGACTCCGACACTATCCTCCTTATTAGTATTATTGATGCGCTCAAATGGAAAAAAAAAAAGGCCGGAACACTCACGTGCACCCCATAGCCAGCATAGCATAAACCGCGAATTTCTGTCGGAACGGCATCTGCAATTTCCGCAGCCACGGACTACCACACCGTCAGCATCACTCCCTTAGATCACGAAGAGGAAAAACGCACATCGGAACCAAAGTCGTCAAGAAATCCGTGAAAATGCCCAATCCTGCATTCGCAAAGTAAAACACCGGTCGGTTCATGCACGTCGCGTTCGTGATCGAATAGTCCCACGAGGCGGCCACGGGGCTGCAACTGAAGATGTTGGCCAGCACGCTGGCCACGTTGTAGCCCACCGCGATGAAGATGACGGTCCAGACGGCGTAGTGGAAGGTCTTGCTGGGGAAGATGCGCAGGTAGAAGATCAGGACGGAGACTTTGGTGAAGCCGGTCCCGGCGCAGTAGATGATGGCCGCGACGACGTTGAGCTATCGCCGTCAGTCATATTCGCGACGTGTGGTTGGAGGTGAAGGGGCCGGGTGGAATTTACCTTCAGGAACCACGGGGTGAGGGAGCTGTACGGGACGTCCCACATGTGTTTGCCCAGACCCCAGTTGAGCACTGTCCATTAGCTTGATGGTTGAGGTTGGAGCAGGGCAATGGATGGCTTACTGTCGAGGGTGACGGCGGTGAGGATGCAGGAGAGGACCTGTTGGTCAGTGGCGATGCACGCCAGGGGATACAATTGAGGAGGCGGCTTACAACGGAGATAATCATGAGGTCTGGAGTGTCGTCAGTATACTATACTCGAAATTCCGGAGCGAAAGAGACCTACAATCATCATATGACACACTGCGCACCAGGTAGATGCGCGTCCACATGCGCACGACCAGCGCAATCACCGCCAGAGGCAGGAAGACACAGTTGACCACAAGAAACTTGAGGCCGCACGACGGAGGGTCGACGAAGTTGGAGACCATCCCGGCGGGCGGCGCCATGGCCGGCGTGATGGAGGAGCTGTTGGTCATGGTGTGCTCAACTCGGCATGATCTGGGCTTGACCTCTGTCGATGGGTGAGAACAAACACCCAAGTAAAAGAACGAAAGAAAGAAAAAAAGAAAGAAAGAAAGGAAAAAGAGTGACAGACGAGAATAGATCTGGGGAAGGAAAAAAGAGAAGGGGAAAGAAAGAAGCACAGACTGTAGCCCGGAGATATAAGGTGACAGACAGGCCAACGCCAGGACTGCAGCGGAGACAGTGAACCAGCAGATAAGGGAACAGTGACCACTGCGCCAGCCAGGCTACACTTCGGTGCACTCTGTCATATACAATTACCCGCTGCTACAATGAACCAAACTCTTTCTTTAGAATGGGCTGCTCTCCCCTCATACCAGAGGAGGAAACGACGCGCTACGCTACGTAAAAAGCCCTGCCCTGTCCTGCACCAAGAAAAGTGGCGAACTCAATTTCGCCCGCTAATGGAGGGATTAGTTGGACTACTGAGACTATGTGCTGCAGCGCACGTTTTGGCGCTGGGCGACCGTGTATCCGGAGCAGGGACAAGACGAGACTAGTTGGTTCTAGTGCTGCTCATGAGACCCAGCTGGCTGGCTGGCTGGCTGGTTTTGTTTTGGTTTCCCAGACAAGAATCCAATTTTCAGACTTTCGGGGAGATTCTTCCCCGATGAGTGAGTCAATCGAGGAGGGTGTTGTGTCCTATTGCTCATGATCGCATCCCATTCCCCTCTTGAAACAGGAGATCGTGACGATCACAGCTTGTTTCCCCTCGCTCTTCTTTTCTGGGGAATCGACGGATGTCACGGTACAGATCTGAGAGGCGGGTGGAGGGGGAAGTTGTCCAATGTCCACAATGGTAGAAAGAGAAAAAAAAAATACCAGAACAAAAACAAAGCAGCAAGTTAGAAGTCCGGCAAGGCCCGAAAATCTGGAACCGAGGCTGCCCGTCACGCAGAGAAGCGGAAACGAATCCATGGGTGGCACCCTCACCGGCTCCACCCTGGCAGAGTGCATTGTTTTCTCTTTCTGTCAGCTCGGTCTGGAAGCTGACCTGGATTCAGCTTCTAGGTGAGCTAAACGAGTGTACTGCAGTACTCGATGTTTTGGTTTGTCTACGTATTGTTTTCTCTGCTATTGCTGTTGTCCGAAGCCACGTAGGGCGTATGCTTGGAGCCCAGGCTACTGGTAAGACGGTGCAGACCCGACGGGGTGGGGTCCAAGTACGTCGAGCTAGAAGGGAGGAAGGAAGGAAGGAATGTCAAGTCGGAAGCTGAGCAACCCAGAAGATTGACAGAGTTCAGGTAGAGGATGATAGTTCGGGTCAGGAGGATAAGTTCTATGCGGGTTAAGCTTTGGCACGGCTTGCAGGAACAAGGGATAATGGCCTCTCTCCCCTGAAGGAAGTCATGGACACGAGGAGATGCCTGATTAAGTGCTGACATGCAATCTCAATCTAATAAAGTCGGCTAATAGATTGGAACTACCGTGGTTGTCAAGAATAATACGAATGATGGGCTAACCCTGGCCCGTGGATGACCCAAGGAACTGGAACAGGGTGGAAATTGCACTTGCTGTCTTTGAGGGAGTGCCTGATGACGCAAGTTGTGGTTGTGCTTGGGTTGTCTTGGTCAATTGAGGAAAAAAATCGGCAGGACCAAGAAGACCAGGAAGAGTAGCGAAGCCGCTAACGACCCACTCAGTTTAGGGGTAGCCTCGGTTCTGGCCCTAACATGCCCACACCAGCACCGCAACAGCCAAGAACAGAAGAAAATCAACCCATCGTGCCATGTGGTGAGAGGATCCAGCACGATCATTCACCTAATGATGGACAGGACCCGTGCAGCTTGCAATCCTTCAGTGGATTGATAGCCTCGCCATAAAACTTGCACATATGTAGGTAGTTGAATGTCGACACTAAGTTATGTTACCTTTAGAGCATGAAATAATATACGTAAGCAACCACACCGATCCAAGGTTCATTCTGCGTTTGGAAACCTTATCCCTCGCCGGAGCTCCATTGGGTCAATCCACAAATACGATTTCCGACTCACCAGGAAAAACCCCCGCCACCCCGAGAGTCACCCATGGACGAGAATCTGTCATGCTCACGTCGGCCAGCTCTCCATCAGTGCCCTTTTCCTTGCGAGTCTGGTACCTGCCCCTCCGCTCGGACCTCTCCGAGGACCCAGTGGCCAGCAAAACGGAGATTGCAAGCGAGAGAAAAAGACCCAGTTGGGAGCGCAGCTTCGGAAACCCGACCCGGAAAACTCTTTTAGCGAGCTGAACCGCAGACTGCCCTGGGAGTGTGAGACAGGAATGGCATGGCAATCATTGGTCAAGGTCGTTTCTTACTGGTTCGCAATGCGCAGCGGGGTTCACAAGAAATAGCAGCAACAACTCAACACAACAGAGGTGAAGTAAACTCCTGACCAGATTCTACAGCCTAAGTTAGACAAGAACAACAACACGACCACCAACCAACCGTAGAACCCCATCAAACCACCACAACCACAACCACAAACATATATACACACCCCATACTAAATAACTACTCGTAAACCCACCGACCGACACCTCAATCTCAACTCCCCCGATTAGGTCCATACTGCCCCGTCCACGCGCGCAACCTCTGGCCCCCGAAGAACAACAGCACCGCCAAGAGTAAACTAGCGGCCTGGATCGCCGTCATCTCGCCGAACACGACCGCCACACCCTGGCGCGCGATCCAGTCGCTCGCGTACAGCGAAAGCAGCATGCCGATCGTGTTGCGGATGACGAAGATGATCACCAAAGCTTCGCCGGCGATCTGCATTCCACCCCTCGTGTTAGTGCTAGTTTTATTGGAATCGGCAAGGGAATACGAGGGAAATAGATTAAGGGGGATGGATTGAAGGGGAGATTTTTTATCCGAATGGGAGGAGAGGAGGGGTTCGGGTGAGGGGGGAGTTTGAAGGATTGATGGGGGGGGGGGGGGGTTTATATCCTGGGTGTTCCCTCGACATACTACCAATAATATTGCGACGGATCGCGAATTTTCGATGGCCGGAGGGAAGAAGAGGGAAACGAAGAAGACGAAGCGACTCACCCGTTGATAACAATCCAACGCATATGTCACCGCCACATTCGAGATGGCCGCCACCCCGAACGCCTGCATCGCGTATCCCACCGCCACGCCCATCCAGTGCGTCTGGTGGGCAATGCACAGTCCGAATATCAGAATGCCCCCCGGTCCGATTACCCCGGGCACCACCAAGGCCGGAAGACGGTACTCCGGTTGTCGGTCGCCGCCGCGGCGTCGGGTGTATCGCGTCGAGATCTGGTCGATGAGGCGGCCGCCGACATAGAAGGCGAGAAGGGATCCGATGAACCCGGCCAGCGAGAGGAGGCCGATGTCGCCGGCGGGCCAGTTGTAGGGGGCGGAGGTGAAGGTGCGAGAGGCGGTGAGTTGCACCACGATGTTCCTTTTTTGCTCAATGACCAGTTAGTCAGTTTGGGGGGTGTTGCGGGAGAAGGGACAAAGGGTTCGGGCGACTAACCATCCGACTGAGACACCAATGGTAAAGGCACACCAGAGGAGCTGAGGATAAGCTGCAGCGGATAAGATAGCTTTTACCGTGCGCAGGAACGAGGCATCGGGATTGTATCCCTGCTTCAAAGAGAGCATGCTCCAGACCGAGGGGGTCTTGTCTTGTGAAGCGTCATGTCGAGCAGGCAGATATGTGGTCTCGCGGATGGTGAAGAGACCGACCGCCCAGACAACACCGGAAGCAATGGCCAGGAACCAACACATCCAGCGCCAGCCCGCGTCCTGCACGATATAGGCATTGATCAACGGCCCCACGAACAACCCCGACGTCAGCGCCAGATGGAAGATCATCAACCAGTGACCCCGACCCTCCGGACGAACCATATCGCCCACCACCGCGGGAACAGTCGCGTCGGCGGCGGCAGCAGCGAGCCCGGACATGATCCGAGCGCCCAGCAACTCCGAGTATCCCGTGGCTTTCGCGGACCAGACGTTCATCATCGAGAGGCCGAGCAGGGCGGCCAGGTAGACGGGTCGCTTGCCAAAGACCCGCATGAGCGGGACCCATGCGAGGTTGCCCAGGCCGAAGAAGAAGACATTCAGTGACACGAGGTGGCCTGCGTCCGTGGAGGAGACGTGGAACTCGGCGATGATGGCTTTGGTGGCGACGGTGAAGTTGCTGCTGTTGACGTTGGCCAGGAAGGTGAAGCAGCAGATGGTCATGTAGGTCGTGACTTTCGTCACTAGAGGCCAATTCTGTGGAGTGAAGGGTGAGTCTGATAGTCTGTGTTGGTTAGATGTAGAGTTGCCTACCTTGGGATCGTGCGGATCCGGGGCCGGTTCGGCTGTTTTGGCATCGTAGCCATCTTCCAGCCCATGTCCATCGGCGTAGTCGATGTGGTTGGATGTGCCCTTGTCCTCGTCCATGGTGAGATGTAGCGCAGTAGAGTGGAGAAAGAGGGAGAAGCAGGGGGGCAAGATATGTGCGGGTGCGGGTCATCCGCAGGATATAAGAGAGCTGTTAAGCAAAGTGCCAAGATGTCGGATATTCCGAATGGCCACCAGGCCAACGAAGAAGGCCGATCGGCAGTTGACCCCGCACGGTTGGGATGACTCTGGGGAAAAGCCGGGGAAATCCAGAAGGCTTGTTGCACGCGGTCGCATTTGTAATCCTTGCCTCGGACTCTCCGGGTAGCTGGTCGACTAAGAGGGTTAGGGCTTGGCCCGTCAGTCTGCGCTGTTGTACGATCATAAAAACGATAATACTGGACGCTTGAAGGGCTGGTTCTGGCTTACTCGGTTACCTCGAAATGCGAAATCTCCCGAGAATGGAAAGGAAAACCTAACACGACGCTCTGTCTTGGCACAAGTGACATAGATCATATTTACAGTATATGTGTATCTCAGGAACCTGAGGATTGTTTCGAATGATCTAGTAGAGACTACTCCAATAACTCGGCAAAGAGTAGGTACCCCGAAAAGTGTGTTCACGTCCATGTATAAAAGGAGTGTGTGCAAGAAAATATAACCCCAGCAGCAGCGGCCATGAGACAGCACCAGGCTATCCCATCCCCATTGCATCATATATACCCATATCCAAGCTCAAAGCATAAAGACTTCAGATCCATAAAACCAATCCATGACCATAATGCATCCTCATGCTTCTACCTCAACTTCCACCCCAACCTAAGAAAGCCCGACGGCACTGACCAAGAACTGCGCGGCCGTCTGGGCATCGCTTCCATAGGACAAGTGAGCCATGACATTGACGCCGTTCTCACAGACGGGATCGCCGACGGCGCAGAACTCCTTGACCTTGCTGGAGGCGAGCTTACCGACCGAGGTCATCTTGAGCGGGTCACCGAACAGGACGGCGGCCTGGATCTGACCCGCGCTCAACGAGCTGGCGGCGTTGTGCACCACCATCGAGCCCTGCGAGTAACCGCCCAGCACGACCTTGGTGTTGGGGCACTGGCTCAGCGCCTGCTTGACCAGGCTAGCCATCTTGGGGCCGCCGGAGGCGCCCATGTTCATGTTACCCTGTTTTTGGGCTCGATTAGCTTGACGTTATCGGGGAGGATTGAAGACATAGAGGAAGACTTACGGCCCAGTCGGCGGGGTAGTCCACACCCTGCACCGTCACCTTGTTGCCGGTCAGCGACTGCAGGGCCGAGGCGACCTCAGGGCCGACCACGCTGCCCATATTGCCCATCTCCGTGGTTCCACGCGCGAAGATGAAGGTCAGCTCCTTGCAGCCGGTGTTGGAGGTGACTCCGTTCTGGGTGCTAGAGCCTAAGGGAAATAAGTATTGTGTACGATGAGGGGGGCTACAACACAAGGGACGGAAGCTTACCACCCATGACGCTGCTGATCATACCGCTGAGTCCATCGCTGCTGCTAGAGGAGCTGGTAGTGGCGCTGCTGCTGGGAAACAAGGAGCTCAGCGCACTCAGGCCACTGCTGCTGTCGGTGCTGGTAGTGGTGGTGCCAGTGGTGCTCCCACTAGCGCTGCCACTGGTGTCGGACGAGCCGGTGGTGCTGCCGGTCGCCGAGCCACTGGTCGGGAACAGCGAGGCCAGGGCACTCAGACCACTAGATCCAGAGGAGGTGCTGGAGCCAGAGCTGGACCCCGACAGCAAAGAAGAGATATCGAATTGACGCCCGTGCAGAGTCGGGGTCGGGGCAGCCAGCGCAGTGGCAAGGAGAGAAAGGGTAACGAAGGACTTCATGATGAAAAGATCGACAGCAACAAACGTGCAATTGAAACGAGAGGGATAGAGCGCAGCTCTGTAAACGAAGGAACAACCTGGGTGAGGAAAGAGAGAGGAAGTGCACTGCACTGGTCGGAGTGGATGGATGGATGAGCTGGATAGGACTGGACCGACCAACTTCTCGTGAAAACCTCCCAACCTTATACTTCGTTCGAATCCTCAAAATTGAGACCCTTCTCAAGTCAGTTGAGCTGTACAGCCCGCGATCGATCGGGCGTGTTTCACCTTGCACCGAGGCTGTTCGAGAAGCTCGGTTCACATCCCTGGGAGGTGGCTCAACCCCGGGCTGAAAGGCCTGAAACCGTACGGTTGATACATCACAATCCATGGGTAGCCGCAAATGTCTCACCCTGCGACGTCGCGGGCGAACCGTTATGTGTCGGTGTAGGAGCCAGACCGGTAGGATGACTGCTGCCAGTCGGGGCGCTCGGATCCCAAGGGCAGACCCTGTCCGTGACCAGGGTCTGTTGCCGATAGATGAACGATCGTCCCCCCCCCCATCCCCCCTGGGGCGGTGATCGTGTTCCTGGACGGGTTCTCTGTCCGGCTGTTTAAGGGGTTCGTTAGGGCTACTAGTGATTTCTGCGTCTCCGCAATCGTCCAATTTTTGAGGCCTCTTTCCCCGATCGGGAAATCGGCCCGCCCCGGCAAAACCTTCAAACCTGCACCAAATCCCTTCGTGGATGAGAGAGATTAGCTTCAAAGGCTGAGCCTGCCCTCGCTGAAACCTCGGCCAGCCTGTCATGCATAGATGGTACGGAGAATTGGAAAAGTCTGTCTGTTTCAGCTGACCAGTCCTTGCATTTCTGATCCGTGGATCACCTGCGGCTTTGCCTGAAGCCTTTAGGGCATAATGGGCCAGACCACGGTAGATACATCACTCTCGAAGGATGATGATCAATCCGAACATGAGCAGCATGTCCCGGTTCCGGAGCGCGAAAGGAGATCTGCCTCGGTACCGCTCGATATCACAGCCTTGGCATGTGGCTTAGGATCGACGATCGACGTCATGAGCAGACTTATCAATCTAGAGATAATCACCTTTGCTCACCTTGCTAATGATGCTAGTGAAGAGTTCTTCGAGGCCGGTGGTTCAGCATGGAATGCCAAATCCTTCTCATTCTTCTTCCCTCAGGCGGAGTCAAATCACTCACAAGATCACACTGCAATCTTTGATAGGCAACAGAAATACATACCCTGGGCTATTGTGAGTTTCAGCATCAGGGCCCACAAGGCGGGTAACAAGCCGACTGCTGTCAGAATGTCCCACAACAGAGAGTCCAGACTTTCCCGGCTCGAGAAAACTGCCTTTCTGGTTGTTCAGCAGTGAAAGAAAACTGTGCAGGACCTGCGGGCTGGGTTTAGATCTTGAATCGAGGGCCTAGACTGAAGTAGAAGAGTAGATGTTTTGATTTTCTATTGACGAGCGATAGAACTCGGTTCGATATCCTGCATCTGCACGGCACTGCGCATAACTCATCATCCCAAATCCTGGGTTTAGACAGAGACAGATACCATTCGAGTCGCCCAAAGGCGAATATACTTGATCAGGTGCTAGAGGGTGTAGGTTGGTGTATTCAACAACGCGCTGAATGGTGTAGTGTATGGTGTGGAATCAGTGGATGGGTCTGTGGGAGGCTCGGATTGGTGGGAGAGAGCTAGAAATCTATGGTATAGTACTTCAGTTGTGCATCATCCTATTTCAAACGCCATTTATCCAGAATATTAGTCATAAACGCAGGGTATGGGCTCACCCGTGAGGATTGCGGAATCAGTGATGGAAAAAGTCGTCGGTGCGGGAGATATATATCTCATATGACACGGCCACTCAGTTCTAAACGTCCCTAACTGCACGCCTCACACTCCATTGCTGGTAGTCAAATATCGAATAATAGACACTCATTAGGGGCCTGGTTCTTTTTTTGTACCTGAGACTAAGCGCAATTCCCAGAAGAACGCTCGACCATGAAAGGTGTAGAGATACCAGTAATGGGCCGTAGATGCGCCGTGGCAAAAAATGGACGGATATAGCAATGTGTGCTTTGGCCGGAAGTAGAAAGACTCTGTCGAAGAACTTTCCATTCGTCTCAATAAGCAGAGTAACATTGATGGTGTTGACAACAGTTATATCAAGGATGGTAAGCTCTCGCATGCCATAATGATAGGGAAGGTGTAGCCATGCTTGCCAAGACAGGCAGCTCCCTGCAAAATTGAATGATTGCAAAATTGCCATGGTGAGCACCAGACAAGTCCGACGCTGATAGCAGCTCTATACGACGATGTGATGTTGTTGAAGAAGTGTTAAGCATATGATATGCAACTTATGGCATTTGCATGAGTGATTCAAGAATTTAATCTGAGTGACAAGCCTTTTATTTGACTAGATCAGCGATTCTAGAACACGGTCGCGGGTGCCAACAACTGCGCGTATGTTGATAGATTCTTGATCAAGTAGCTCAGATGCTCTGCAACTTATCAAGAAGCTAGTGAGCATGATATAAATCGCTTCCACGAGCACGGTCTGATCGCCATGCCGTGCTAATAGAACGGCCTCAATCGACCTGATTAACCAAGAACACCCGCTAAAAGATCGGAATAGTGAAGCATCCGTGACGATAAACGTCGAGAGCACTGAAAGCCAAACACTGACCTACGGGAGGTTATCGAGCATAATCCGCGTAAAGTGTGATGACAAAACTTCATTAGGCAGGGCGGTCAAGTTTTCCATGCGAATGCCAAGTAGTCGCTAGTCCACAGTCTTATTTGTACCATGATTGTAGTGTGTAATTCTTAAAGAGAGGTGTGCTGGGTAGGCGAGCTCCAATATCACGTTCATATGGCGTGGTTTAGCACCAGCGATGTAAGTTCTTCGCAAATCGCCCGCATCGATGCGGTAACGCATCCAGGCTGACGAGGTGATTGAGCCTCTCACCCTCAAGGTCTAGTTATATACTTCACTTACCGTGCTGAGTCTTTCCAAAAGGTATTTCACATGCGACAAACAACGCTCAGTCTGCCTTGTATCAGTAAGCATTGACAGTAGAAGTTGTAGGCCGGAATCGTTGGATAATATCAGAATGGTTGCTGGTGGTTTGCCTTGATTGCGCGGGCGCCGAGACCACCTCTCCCTACATTGTTTGTCTTACGTTTGTCGTCGAGGTGCAGCTAATTCGAGTCCGCATGCTGCAAGGCGCTCAGCTCCCTGATGCGGAAATTGGAATCACAAAAACATCGGGACTTTCTCTCCTTGCGAGAGAGGGTTATAGACGTTGTTTCCACGTGAGAGGAAGTCCGATAACGCGACTTGGTAATTGCATGAGCAGATACGAAGAATGAAGAGCTGACGATGCCTAAGGTAGGGTGGTTGTTTGTCTGCAGAATGAAAGCTAGCCCCGAGCCCGAGCTGCAGCAGGTGAATAGTCGCTCCGCGGCGTAAGAGACAGTCTGAGATGAATACGAAGTCCGCAACCATGTGCTAGCCGGCTATTTCGCCTAGGGATGACTTTCTTGATTGCTTACTCCGGTTACAAAGCACCTTTTATTTTTCTCTATCCGTCGGGTGACTGAACGATATTTCTGCCAATCTTACCTCGCGACTGCCTTCAAATCTTGCGCACCGTCGGCCTGCAAATTCATAAATTATTACCCTCGACATTAGTTATTGTCAATCAAACTCTTCTTTCAGGTAACAAAACTTCGAACAACCACCGCAATGGCTTGACACCCCAAGCCCGAGGAGACCATAAACAAGGTTACATCGTCCCCATCTAGAACTCCTCTCCTCTCGGTGAATGTCTCACTCTCCAAATTAGCCAATTGGATGACCCGGGACTAAGAGGCTTGTCTAGTCTTGATTAGGCTAAGCAATCCCCGCGCACTGAAATAAGCTGCATCCCGACTCCGTTCCCCGGATATTACAGCCATTCACTTCAGACAGACAGGTCTGACCTACCGATACGAGTTCCTTGTGGACGCCTTGCAGCAGTTCTCGAACAGAGAATACGAGCGCACTTTTCCACAAGATAAAGAAAAGCCATATCCCCTGCCTCATGCGTGCGCTGACAATTCGATTTGGGGAACTGTGGCGGCGGCTATGGACGTATGTCAGCATAGTCCAGCCCAAATCGGGCAGTTTGGGGAAACCCGCATCAAGACGGGCGTGTCGCGTGACGATCTAGATCTGGTAGGAAGGAGGAGAGGACTTTCCAGAATGGGTTAGCATGATAAAATAAATTAGTTTTGGTAGTCTGTAAGATACTTAATGAGCACAAGGCTGACCCTGCATGATTAGCGTTGGTCTAGCCTCGCCCAGCTGAACCCTGCATCCTTTCCCGGTGCGGCTCGACCCCTACGATCCTCGTGTCTGGCCGCCTAGAAACCATGCTCACTTCTCCTTTGCGGGAATTTCCGCAGTCTGCAGTATACACTGGGACTGTTCTGCGGGTAAGTAAGCGAAGCGAGAGTCAGAGAGGCGCCTCTCACTGGGAAGAATGTGGGGGCCGTCACGGACAGCTGCAATGATTCAGGGCCCCTCAATCTGGCTGCAAAACTATATAAAGCTCTGGACGACCCATCGAGAACATCCTCTCATCACGACCATCATCACCATCCGCTTCTACAAGTCTCTACACAGTATCATTCTGATCATCATGCACTTCCTCAAGTCCACCGCCGTCCTCCTCGTCTCCGCCCTGGGCGTGTCCGCCACCCATTTCCACAATAACTACGGCAAGAACGGCTGGATCCAGGACAACCAGGGCTCCGACATCCAGCTCAAGAACGGTGGCTCCGTGACCATCGGCGGCGGCTGGGGCTTCTTCTGGGTCGACAGCAGCGTCTGCTCCAAGAACTCGGTCACCTACACCTGGCCCTCGAGCTATGGCGGTATGTCCTTTGTCTTCTGCCTGTGCTGTGAGCAGATACTGATGCGTAGGGATAGATGTCTACATCCACAGCGATGGTTTCTTGTATGATGCTAGTGGTGAGTACTGTGGTGTACTTGGGGGGCAAGAGTAGGAGGTACTGACTGTGGGCTTTAGGCTACCAAATCTCCGGCGGTGCTCACATTTGCGGTTAAATGCTGAATGTGATGAGTGGAATTTGGGGTACAAAGGGGGTGCTAGGTGGAAAGAGAAATGTACATGTTGATTTGTGTGTTGTGGAGGCCGCCTTGCAGATAGGTGCAGTTCTTGTTTAATCACTGTTGTGAATCTGCGAGCCATGATGTATGTCATAAATGAAGAACCGTGCGCCTTGATTCCGGAGTGTCTTTCAAGTGAAATTAAGGCTAGAGAGATGAGTTTTACAATCCTACCAGCGTTCAGTACTGTAGCATGTCAGCAATCTGAGGTCTTGCCAGTTCTTGATGCACTTGATCGTTCAGTTGGTCCGAAGTCCGGTTTCTCGGCGAATTCCACTCAAAAGTCCATCTCATGTCTAAATCTCTATTGTACCCTCTTGTCTACTTACCAAGATCCACCATCCCACCCAAACTTCCCATACTTCAACGTATTGGTCGTGGCCGCCGCCTGACCCAAAGCCGGCGAAACCGTCAAAATCATCCTCGAACAAGAACAGCCCTTCTCATCCCCACCCGCCGTCCCCTGAAAATGCTCCCTCAGCACCATTGTAAGCGGCGAAGACCGATATGGTATCCTCGCGGCCCTCGCGGCCCTGGCACGAATCACCTCCTTCAGCGCGAGCAGATCCGAATTAATCTGCCTGCCCTCGCGCTGCTCCTTGGGGGACGGTTTTAACTGTGGCACCGTCGTAGTATTCTTATCATGGTAAAACTCCGACCCCGCCAAATCCACCAACACCAACTTACCCCCCAGACAGACATGCCCCGCCTTCCTCATCACCTCCTCCACCGTTCTCACTGCATCCTCCACATACCCCAAGAACTCCGCCTTTCTAGCTTCCGCCTCATCAATCCTCGTCTGGTCCACCCGATAATCAGGATTAGGGACGTACTTCCCCGTCTCATCCTTCACCAACCCCTTCATCGTCTCCTCAAGATAGACATCCGTCGCCCGCTTCGCAACAGGCACAAACTCCGACTCGCGCCCCACGACTGCCTCCCTGGCCGCCAGCAGCGCCCGCGACACATCCTCGACCTCCAGCACGGCATGCGTCCGCGAACTCAGATCATGCACCGTCGAAGTCCCCGTGGCGTGCCGCGCCAAGCCCCCACGGAAATGCGCGAGGAAGTCATCCAAGCTCCAGCACGCTTTCGTGGCAATGGGCCGTACCCGCACGCGGCCGTGCTCCAGCACCTCCGTCTCCCCCCGGAGGTGCGTCTTCCCGTCCCCGCCTTCGCGGATGTGGCATTTGATGTGGCTGTTGAGGAGGTCAAAGGCTTCGTTGCCGCGGAGCTCGTACATGCGGAGGCCGAGGCCGAGGTGGGATGTCTTGTCGATGGTTTTGGTGTTGAGATTGAGGGTGTGCAGGGCGTCGAGTAAGTGCTGCGCTGCTGCGAGACAGAGTCCGTACTGCCCGGTATGCTCGAAGTCGTAGCCGATGATGGTGTGGGATTTGCCGCTGCCGGAGTGGCCGTAGGCGAAGACATTGCTGGTTCCGCCGTTCAGGACTAGGGGCAAGATGGGCGCGATCACGGATTCGAAGACGGTGCGATTGGTGGCAGTTGCTTCGAAGGTCTGCGTGAATGCGTGGCGCCATCGCACGAAGACGGAGAAGGGTTGCATTCTGGGGGTCGAGAGAATGAGATTGAGAGTTGGGGATTCTGGAGATGAGGGATTCTGGAGATGAGGGATTCTGGAGATGAGGGAAGAGATTCCGAGGTTTTGGGAGTGGAAGTTCTTAAAGGTTTGGGCTTCAGGGATGCCGGATATTCGGAGTATCTCCCCCCCTCCCCAGCGGGTGGAGATGGGTGTAAAACAATTCGTTACTGTATAGTTCGATGATACTCCCCACAGCAATCGCCTTTCTATGTTTCCTGGCTTGTCATGTTAGATAGACCTATAAGGTATGTACTCATGTATGTATACATGTATAAGTTCCCCCTTCCCGGCAGCCGAGTGGTCTGCTTAACGATAGGAATAACAAGAGGGGGCAGCAATCTCGGAGCAATCACTGAAAATCCCATTCAACTCCGACTCCGCATCCGCAGGAGCGGCAAGCAGCTCCGTGCACTTGGCGGGGACTGCGTCAGCCTCCTCCTAATCTTTCTTCCCCATCTTCGTCTCATCCTTCTCTGGCCTGCGTCCCTTGCGCAACTCCTCCGTATTCTCCAGCCACTTCGGGAACCCGTGGATGGCGAACTGTGAACTCTTCTTTGGTCCAGCAGATACCCCTGTATTCTGGGTCTTGGTGTCCAGATACTCCTGCACATCCTTGAAGAGACCTGTTTCATCAACGGTCAGCTCATTAATTTCCTTAACATCGAGGTCAGAAGATGTCTTTGCTTTGCTCTTTGAAGCCATGTAAATTAGCTTTAGTCCTCGGTTTTCAACAAAGTGCATGAATCGATCAAGAAAAGGAAAGGATAAGATGGCAGAAAGAGCCTTCACTACGGTGATAAAGTTAGGCCTTCGAAGACCAACGACTGGAAAGAATCTCGTGGAAGCTTTGTTGTCAATGGGAGCATCGCGAGCACACTTGGCTGGTCATCACAGATTGAAAGTGTTGCTGTTGAACCCTTCTGGTGCTTGCAGTTGGGCAAGGATCGTGAGGACGACGGCAGATTCAAGTAGACTCTTTTGCCGATGTGCCAATCTGTCCACGCCAGATATGTATGCGGATAAGTGTAATGGTCAGTAGAGAAAGGCCAAGCGTGACTACGTAGCACGATGCCGTATCTGATCTACACTCCCTCTAGGATGAAACTACATAGGACAAGGCATCTTGCCAGGTAACAGCTTAGTTGTGGCTGACTCTTGTACCATCATATCATAACTGCGGTTCATGACTTTAATCACCTTCTTCCGTTGGTAATTTCTATGCGCATGATGTGCACCTCCGCTTTACCAGTCACAGCCAATTTGCAGAATCCCCTGGCACGAGAAGATGGAATGGGAAACAAGAACAGAATGCGGCACACCCGAAATCCTGCCACGATGTACCCGCCCTGCGAACTTCACCATTCGCTTTTTTCTTGATTATTTCTCCCTCCCATCGCCAACAAAGCCCCAAAGACTATCGTACGTTTGGACGGCCTTTTAGCCATCATCCGGCCAAGTGTGCCAGCATGTGATGTACACATGATCTTCCCCGTAAGAATGCGGCATCGTAGTCGGGATGGGGGATGCCCTCCCTGCCGTAACCCCAGAATCGATTTCAGATCGTTGCGGTGAAATACTCTCCTCGTCTACTGGGGCATCGCCATGGAATTCAGCGGCCAGCATCTGGGATTTTTGATTGCTTTCGGCGTTGAGTGGATGTTCGGAGTCATTCCAGCGCATGTAGAAAAAGGCTTGGTCGTTTAGGTCTGGCATTGTGGGCGCAGACTTTTGACAACCTTTTGGGGTATTTGTGGGATGGAAAGCAGGCAAATTAGGGTTGTATTGTAGAGATGACAAGCAAAGTCGGCTCGGATAGTTTGATATCGGGGTAGTGAGCTTATAATGTGGCTAGTGGCAAGGGTTGTGTCATGACAGGATCATTACATTGTCGCCTGTCAGTATAGTAGGGGAGGCGCACGGTGGAAGATTTGACTTCGTTGCTGGAGTTTGTAGAAATTCTGTATGAGTGTGTCAGTTTCAGGGTTGTTGTTTGGCAAAGCTTGCTGCTGACGGGGCTGTCAACCTGGATCACGAATCAAGCCGCAGACTCTTAAACTGCGGAAAGCCTCCTTTGAACTCAATTTCAGCGACCAGGGGATTTCAAATATCACAAAACCGCAAGTGGATCAGATATTACAGTAGCAGGTTTTGAAGCATAGGAACTCTCAGAGTCTAGTCGTCTAAACCAGGCAATTATCACCACCTGAAAACCTCTTTTCGTACACCTCCAGCATTCACCGCAGCTGAGTGACTATAATAGACCGACGCGGTAGGCTCCTCACCATCGAACACGGGCAAGAAGTCCGACACTCGCGCGATAGCAGGCACATCGGCACAACTCGTAACAATATCTAAACCCTCCTCTTCAATCTCAATCCACTTATCCGCAATCGCCGCCACGACCGCACTGTTCCAGACACCTTCCTGGACGGCAGAGGCACGAAGCACCCGCACAGCTCGCCGGCGAATGTGAGGATCACGGCACCGCACGGCGACGTTGAACATGGCTGCTATGATGCCGAGGTCGAGCGAGAAAGTTTTAGGAGTCGGTAAAGGAGAAGAGGAAACCGCGTCTGAGGGATGAAATGGAGAGGAAATTGGGGAGAACCCCACAATGGACTCGCCTAGGGTAACCATCTCTTCGAAAAAGGCACAATACTTGTCCCAGTCGACATTGTCGCCCGCCTCGGCCTGACCCGCAGGTTCGAAGATATCTAAAGAAATCAAGCAGTCGATCTTGCGTAGCTGGAGCACTGCGAGACCGCGCCGCTCGCGGTCCGTCAAGGGAGCACTGCGCTCACGCAGAAAGTCGTCTAGCGCGGTAGACCAGCGACCCAGCAGGGAGATCGAGACGTCACGCAGAGCAACAGCCGCGTGATTTAACCCATTCACCAGCTTTATGGACTTTGGGAAAGGAGAATGCTGCTCCGCCTTCGTACGTTCGTGTTGCAGCCCCATATTGCGTTGCCGGTAGTAGTACGTGTAGATTTCGAGGGTTTCGCGCGCGTCGGCTAAAGAGTGGAACACGATGGGTCTGTCCAGATCAATGACCAGCTCAGGCCAGAGGTTGCAGCGCGCTGCACTCATACGGTGGACGGTCTGTAGCGCTCTACGATTAGCAACCGGATTCCTCTACTCTTGCCGGAAGTGGACACCGTACCACAATAATTTGCGCTTGCAGGCGAGTAAAGAGGCCACACACCACGTCGATGGGAACATACGGCATGCGACCTCTGCTCAGAGCTGTGGATTTGTCGAATGGATTGGCTCGAAGTTCATCAAGGATTTTTAGTCCGCTGGTGATGTGAGTGATGGCCGAACCGTATTGGCCGCGCATTGCCTTGAGCATAGTTGGTACGCAAAGTCTTATTACACGGGATATATAGACACACGTACCTCGAAGCAAGCGAATAGAATACAAGACATCAAGCAGACGTCAAGGGGTTGTGAGCCGCCCGGTGTCGGCATCAGATATCGCATGGCGCATAGGTACTGGCGCAAAGCAAAGGGATCGTGCATTATCTGAATGCCCGCTCGGTAGCTAGTGCCTGAATCACGCTCCAGACGCTCATGCAGCGAGCCCAATGCAATAGTGACATGGCGAATGGCCGGCTCGTGGTGCGCAGACTGCAGTAGCAGGCGTTCCCAGAAGACACATTCAAAGTCACCAGCCAGCTGTGGGGCAGTCTTGGCTATAAAAAACTGGAACGAGCGGCGCTCCTGGTCAGAGATGAGTAGATCATCACCGAGCGACTGGGGAACGAGCGGCCTTGTGAATGCTTTTGATCGCAATGTCGTGAGGCTAGACGAGGGTAATGGGGGCGGAGCCTCGTAGCCGTCGCATACTCGGCCGGTTGAGGTACAGCGCAGACAGGCCGGGCGCTCTTCGGTACACCTGATGCGTCGCTCTAGCTTTCTTAGTAAGTCATTGATGGATGACTATATGGTTTGAGATTACCAATGCCACTTACTTCTAAACTCGGTCAGCGAGGTTCTCATTGGGTTGCGGGATGAACATACTTGCAGGTCAAGCAGCCGGAGCGCGTTTTGGGACGGTACGACCGCTTTCGCTGACCCGGAGCAACTCGGGGCATCGCCTCAGCAGGATACAGAGGGTTTAGAATCGGCTCATTGAATAGAGCTGACAGGTGAGAAGAGGGGAATGTGGACCGATGCCGGCGATGTTATCGATAATCATCTGAGTCACATGTTGCAACTTGACCCATTTAGGTTAGTTCATCGGAGTAGCCGGCTGGAATATTTATAGTAAAGAGTAATAAGCTTACAGGACCTAATTATATGTCTATTGAATCTAGAATCCAACTCAAAAGAAAATCAAGGACATGCAAACGCTGAAAACGTGCGTCTATCTGTTATACACACCGTCTAATCAAAATTTCAACACCCCTCAGCACTCTCCCAAACGAACCCTATCATCACTCGACATCTCCTTACTGGTCACACCCGTCTGCTTACGCTTCTTCCGACTCGGCATATCACTCTCCTTACCCGGCATAGTTCGACCCGGGTGCACCACATTGAGCAGTACAAGTGCCAACAGCATCGGCAGAGAGTCAAGGCAGTATTGGTACGCCTCGTGGGCGGGAATCTCGCTGTCGAGGCCCTGCGCATATTCACACAGCCGGAATATAATCCGCATCTACTGCTTATCAGTCATCTCTCTTTGCACCATGAAAGAAAGATTGCTTACCGTAATCAGGGCAAGACATGCATAGAGCACATAGAGTAAGAGCAATGCCTTTTTCGCATCTGATCGCCGCTGCTGAAGCAACTTACGGTGGAAGGCCACGCCACAGAGCACGAACACCAGGACGAAGAGCTGCTGCACGCCCACCCCGGCCATGTATATGTGTAAGCCCGTCATCTCTGTGTTGTAGGAGACGTTGTTGCCGGCTGCTTGAGCGGCTCCGTAGACTTGGACGATGAATGCACTGTTGCATTGTCAGTGTCGGTTTCTGGAACCTGATACTGAAAGCCATACATTATGTCTAGAGCCACGAAGAAAAGACCAAAATGCCAGGGTCGCACGCGTAGGACCCGCGCGTCGTCGGTGAAGTTCCACACCATACGGCCCATAACCATGTAGACGAAGGCGTTGGTCCAGAGGGGTGCGATCAGAATCAGTACAAACCACGCCGCGTAGTCGGTATAGCTGGCTGGATGGAGGATGCTGAGGATGCGAAAGATGTAGGTCACTGTCTGGATGAGACCGGACATGACGATCACCCAACTGTAGAATTTGCGATGCAGGATCGCCTGTGCGAGGTGGGCGAGGGTCGTCAGGGTGAAGAGCACGGTAAACAAGTACGCTGCGCCGATGGAGGGACAGAAGGTCCACATCGTGTCTGGTGTTGTTAAAGCTAATGAATTGTCAGGTATTTGGTTCTTTTACGGTTCATTGAGAGGAATACTGTACCTTTGCACTGCGTCATGGCGGCGGTGGTTATAAACAATGATTAGCGAAGGAGAAATAAGGATGACTAGCTCTGATAGTGAGACAGCCACTTTAAGTAGAATTCCTTCTTCGTCTTGCTGCCTGGTGAACAAAAGCTGAGTTGTTGTCATCGTGAAGTTTACCTAGGGCTAGTATACGACATCTGGTCTGATTGGCCCGCTCGTATGGACACACCAATCATAGCGCCAGGTGTTTATCCGAAATGTCCCCACTCCATGGCACTTGGCAGCCGAATCTGACCGCCGGCGACCAACTGGAACGGTTAGGGGAAGGAGGTTCCTACAGACAAATGCTGACCTGTGGGGATGTAGACCGATTTATAACATTTCTTATAAGTGCTGATGATAGTCGGGACTCGGAATTAGTGCCGTGGTGCTAGAATCCCCCTTAACAACGATTTGGTTGGTAACGCTTTGTAAAATCGCTAGGTACTGTATAGGCAGATGGATATCGTTGTATTGTTACAGTAAAGTTACGCTCTGCACGTGATATTTCCTATATGATACACTTTCAGTCTTTTGGATCTTACCCTTTAAAGTAATCCTTGATATTACTTGCACAAAATTTATATAGGCTGCCTTTATCTAATTTTGATGATCATTATAAGAGGACACAACGATTCTTTATGGTTAAATGGATTTCCACTCCGGGTCAAATCGTTTTTGGCGGGAAATTGTTATAGCGATGATGGTTATATCGAGGTCTTACAGTACTCAGATGCTTCGAGTCCCGAAATGAGAAGCTTGTCCCTGAATTAGATGCTGGTTTGAGTGGTGGCTCATCGCATGAGTCGGCCCAGTCGGACTCGCCTTGGTAGGTGCACCGGTGAAATACAAAACCCCAGATTTTGAAACCGTCGAGTTGCAGCTTTCTTTCCAGCCGGTCCGCATAGTTTTCACTGGCCTCCATGATGGGAATTCGTTTCGATGGCTGTATGAATTTTTCATCACCGTTGCCTCAGGTGAGAGCATTGATTGTGCTTACAAAGTGGATTGCGATTTGGGAAGCAGGGAATGGCACGCGACCGGCGTAAAAAAGAAATCGGCCGGCGGTGCGGGACACAGTGGCCGCCCTGATCTGAGCGTAAAAAAGGTTATGTGAAAGGCCTCTGTTGATACGCCTTCTGTGGTAGGGAGAAGTTCTCTTGGGCCATCGTTGATAGGGGGTTGATTGCAAGGATGGGAGGAAATTTGAGTTCGAAACGGAAACGAGCGAAGGGGGAGGTTACATATTTATACATTTAGAACTACGTCTACCCCGCAAGCCCTGAGGAGAACTTATGCTGGCAAACCTCCCTATATAACACCGCGCCAATAATGCCAATTAACTATTGCTTTGGCTCCAGAACTCATTTGTAAGACTGACGATCGGCCGCCTTCGACGAGACGCCTACGCAAACGGCATACCGTCGACATGGAGTTCTGGCAGATTGTGTGGAACGACGCAAATGACAAACTAGCCAAGAAGCCCCCAGTGGGTCAGAATTAAACACTCGGAAAGCAGGCAGCAAAGCCCAGTGAGCGTATTGCTGAAGCCTTCGGGTTGGTGTCCAATCCCTATCCCTTTTTGGCAATTCAGAACAGTATCAACTATATGAAAGGCAAAATATTCTTGGGGAAATGGTTGTATATACGAAAGAGCCTCAACAACCACAATATATGGGTCACGGGGTTGACAACATGTCAAGAAGATATACTGAGACATACAGTACATGACCGTGCTGGATACCGTCGTCCAGTCCGCGAAAGCCCTCAGGCCCGGGAAAAAACACCATGGTCACGAGTGCCAAGGCATGGGTCGTCCCTTACTCCGTCATACAGATAACAAGATCGTCACCGCGGTGACTAGCCCGACATTTGTGCCGGGGAAGGTTCTGACCGTTTCTCGGTGGCAAGGTCACAATTGTGCTGCGAAAAGGGACTGCCTCATTATTGGGGGAACCCGTCAACGCAGACTCCTAGAAAGAGCGCCGTAGCCCTTGGGCTGCTTGTGTGAATCATATTATCAATGGATGAACCACACCACTTGAAAAGGCTATAACCCGTCAAATTAGTGGTTGCGGAGCCTCTTACACGAAGGTTTTAGACTATTATAGCCAAATTATAGGTTACGAAGTACGATTATTCTAGGGAGGTTGAAACTTCTGTACTAGTGGGGATAAAATGGTACAGTTCGACTCTATAGCTTTCCGTGACCAAATTAGTATTTAATTAACCGCCCATTATGATATAGTGCGGCGCCGAAGACAAACAACCAGTCATTGAGCCGTGAGACCACTCCTTGCCTCCTGTGCCTCCTGAACCAAGCGAGCTGCAGCAAACTCAGACCATCGATAATTCCTTTCTCTTCCATCTTTGAGTCTCGGTGTATAATCGACCGGAACCTGGCTCCCGTCAGGGCCCGTAACAACAGAACAATTCTTTCCGGTTTCCCAATTACTAGGGCTTGCTGACCAGAGACCTAAGTTGTAGAGCCTCCATCCGTCCCAGAAAACCAATCCTAGTCCGAGTAGTGGTCGAGGATCTAGAAGAGAGCCTGTTTGGAACATAGCTGGACGTTCATATGCCTCATACATTGGTAGCATACACCACAGATTACCAATATTTCGGTCCTGCACAGCAGGGATAGTGTTGTCCCATTGCCCCAAAATAGGCTCGCACGTATCCTCCTCGGAAGACGGGAGGAATGGGGGACTCCAGACCCTGAAGCCACGGAAGGCATTGGCTTGAGAATCATCGCTGCCTTGGGGATCCTGGCGCCTGAGAGACAATGCATCGGGCAATTCCAGCCAAAACCGCAGATAGAAGCTATCGAGGTTCGCAATGAGAGGTTCCGACAAGTTTGGATGGGGACAAATGTCCTGCAGACACTCCGACACAGCTCGCATCTCGTCCCCGGTGGGTTCTCCTTCTTGCGTTGGCCCGCGTTGGGGTCTTTCGGAAGGGACATCAAAGTCCGAGACTCGTATATAGAGATGGAGCTCGCTGATAGACCAACATATCTGGGGAGAAACATTCCACACATCTGAATACAGCTGCAAATGCCATAGAGCGCGATAAACACGGTACTCCTCCACCCACGACGGGGAACCGACATCTCGCTGCGAATATGGTTCTCCCCCCTTCAGCTTCCCGGCCGCATCTCTCCCGTAGCCTATTGGTTGCACCGCTCGGGTGCGTGCCAGAAAGGTGGCTAAGCAGGCGCAGGCCAGCCGCTGGATGTTGGCTGCAACCCGGACCATGTCCCGCAGCACAGTGCCAGTCACAGAAGTGGGGCTCAGGGGCGAGGAAAAGTCCTGTGCCATGAACTCGGCTAGGGTCAGATTGCATCCGGAGGAGAAGGAAGAGCGCCGGAGATTCGCACACATCCGGAAGAACCGGTGTATTCCATGGCTCGTGATGGGGTTTGTCCGCAGAATGCTCTCAACGAGGCGGATGGCATCGGGGTGGGCTTGATCCGAACCTCCTTCCGGGGTGAACAATAGGGCAATGCGTGGCGAAACTCGAATCAGGCTGTCAAGCCCAACCCAATCCGCAGCTTCCTCGCTGATTGCAGATAGAAGCTCATAGGGTAGGGCGCTGAAAGGGTCCATATTTTCGCGATGAAAAGAGCAATTCGGGTATAATTGACGGTATCAAGGCTGATGATAAAGGTAGAAAACTGTTCAGATGCTGCTGCCTTGGCTCTTGACAAAAGAGGGCCTGCAAGCCAAGACAAAGCCAAAAAAAGACCAAATGAGACTATTGAAAGAAAAAGGGGACTTGTTTCAGCCCCGCTTATAGAGGGGCGGGGCGGAACCGGACAATTTCCGGGCCCTGCTCAACGGCGGCTGTTGCCGATAATCCCGTCACCGATGGTGATCTGTAAGGCCGTTCCTAGTGTCTCGATCCCAGATACTGTATATACTAGTAATACTGGCGGTGAACTGCAGGGCTAGACAAACTAGAGAATCAAATTGAAAGTGCCTACGAAAGATACAGATACTTGCTGCAGATGTCAGCTCCCTTCTAACTGCCGGAGCTCTCATCACTTATTAGGTGTCTTTCGACTAAACCCTCTCTATCAACCTTGTTCTCTTCACTTCTATTCCTAACCATGATCTTTTGCGCCGCTGGCCGTGCTACAATACTAGCTCTTGGAGTCAATGCTTCGGTCTCACCACAGCCGCAAACTCCTCGCATTCATTCAGTCACTGAAGATAAGATTTCATTTTTCAGTCATGGGGCGGTTGTAGTCTCCCGACAAGTGACCAATGCCTCTGCCTAAGCAGCTCAATATGCCACAATGTTCACGTGTCAAGCCTGGCTATTCTACCTCAGGGCATGAATGCCAACAGTATGGCGAGCGGCCCGTCTTCAAGGACTATAATCCGCTATTTGTGTCCAAGAGCTGTCAAAGGCCAGCAGCAGTCTCGCCGGCCTCGTCCATTGCTCTTCCCTCTGCCTTCTCCGGAATCCCGACCCCGTCTCTATTTGCAGTGAGTTTTCTAAATTTTTTCTTCTTTCCATCCTCTCATTAATGCCTATACACCCCTACTACCATGGCAACTTCTCTAGTCACAAAGACCTGAAGAGTCGTCTGCTGCAACCATCAAGCGCGGCCCTACTTCGTATCATCACCATACACATCGTCACGGTCATTCTCCTCACTGAACAGGCACATAACCCAGCGCCGACTTATTCTCGCCCAATGCAGAATTTTCTGCCAGTTCTCTTCAGCTATTTTTCTTCAGCTCTTGGTTGAAAAGACATGCTTCTGGGTTTGGCTTTGCAGTGTCTGACTGTACCTGATGCATGTAAAACCGAAAGTCTTCGTAGGATACCAACAAAACCAGCCAATTGCATGTGTATTGTACACTAGAGCAAGCTTTCCCTCTATATCATAACATTATTTGTGTAAGCTATTTGTTGATAATCCTGCAACTTCACTAGCTAGAATACTTGCTGCCCGCTGTATCTGTCAGTGGCCTTGTGGCCTCGCTAGCCAGGCTGCTCCCCGCCCGCCGTGAATGACATAGCATGCGAATGCCCTCCCTGGGTATATAGGATACAAGGTTCCAAGATGTATCTGCAGCCACAGCGTGATAGTACCGGTTAAGTTTTATCGTATTATAAACACATCTTCTATTGCTATATAAGTAGTGATAAGTATAAGAAACTGATGATCAAATTTTATAGCGATGCATACAATTCTGATTCTGTAAGTTTAGTTACAAAACCTAAAATCTAAAAGTCCTCTCCTTTAGACGGTATGATACTTATTCAAACTGCTGGTGTGTTTCACTATTAGTAACAGATTACAGCTAGATAGTTTGGCTATTGATTAATTACTTGTATAAGTAGATCTTAGAGAGTCGTCTTCTATGTGTCCAGGGAGGGTATTATCTATCTGACCGAAGCTACACTTAGCAATTACAATGATACCCGTACCAAAATAAATCCCGACTCGGTCCTCGAAGCTTCCATTCAGCCCGGACACACCACTATAACCACACGGTTCAGGTACAAGAGCCCTAGTCCCTTGCTAAAAGCCCTGTAATGGAAAGCGAGGGCTGCGAGACAGAGATCGCGGGACCCAAATCTTGGGGGATCGTGATGCTGAGAGGCAGATTCCCGGCGATGGAGAGACTTTGACGCTTCGTCGGGATTGAGGCGCTACCCTTAACCTCGGATGAGACGCTCCCAGGCAGCGGAAATCTAAGTGTTCCGAGGATCTGTGGGCTCCTGGCGCTTCCATGCAGAGGGTTGGAGTTGGGCATGCTACCGCTGTGGCCCGTGGACTGTTCGTGCACCTGTATATATCATTTATTGATGAGCTGCAGTTTGCAACAACTCACTGGAGATTATCTGCCGAGGTAACTTACCGGAAAATGAGTGGTATCCAGGTCTCCCGTGGAAAGGGGGCTCGGAACCGGTGCAGCCAGCACTCCGGCCGCAAGGCCACTGACGAAGACCATCACAGTAGAAAACTTCATATCGAAAGAAATGGATAGCGGCCTGGTGGGTAGTCTATGATGTGGGTTGAAGGGTCAACTAATAACAGCTCCAGCTCCAAATTTCTGAAAGGGTTGGACACTATCCCGGTACAGTCACCGCACAGAGGTAGTGAGGTGGGAATGAGAGCTGCCTGTAGAATCACAGTTCTCTACACAATGTATTGCATGTGTAATGTGTGTAGATGCAAGACTCTTACATACCCTCCGTGGCCATCAATCTCACAATTCCCCGAAGTTGATATGTAGCCACATCCAAATAGTGTCTTATAAAAGACCTGTAATATAGATACAGTCTACACCTTAAGCGATGTTCCTGCTATATATTCTGTATGTAATCTAGTGTATATAATACTAGATTACAGCCAGATTTACTTATTGCTTCCACCAGTGGAGGGCGGGGAATTGCGAAATTTCGTGGCTACGGAGGGTACTATTCATGCATAGATACTGTACAGTGTTATCGGCGCTGGTGCCGAGATCTTCGCTGCAATAATTATTCTGATATTGGAAATATTATGCATAATCTTTCCTCTTATCTGCTGGGATGTGATATATCATAAGTCGAGGGACTGGATGCCCACGGTTGCGGACTCAAGTCGAACCTTAGTCAATCTACTCGTGGTGGGTTCTTGACGCATGCGCCTTCAGAAAAGGGCGCTTTCTCCAGGCTTACTGATACACCTGTCCCGTGGTCGCATGTGCAGATGACCTCAGAGGCAATATTCTATGCTATATTCCCAATATATTTGACTATCTATAAAGCGGTCAACACAAATCCCGCTGGGCAAATCCCGATCTCTTCCCTTGACTCTCTCCTTACAAAGCCAACCACTACTCCCACCCCTGATACACCGGCCCCGTATACGGATACCACCACCGATCAAATCCCCGCATCTCCTCCATCCTCGCACACCCCCCAATTCACCCCTCCCGCCCGTACAACCGGCTCGTCCCGCCAATGCACCATATGATGCGTGCCGTTCCCACCCCTACCCTCGATCCAAACCCCCTCCCGCACAAATCCAGCATAAGATTCAGGCGCCCTCTGGCCCTTTTCCAATACCCTGCTGTCTGCAACGCCCCCACCGAAATATGGGCCACGCTGCGGACCCAGAGATCACTGATCAGCTCGGAACCACGACAGACGCGCCCAGTGCCAGTATCACAGAGCCGACCGGGGATGAACTCAGGCACGTTCACCTTCCAGGTCAACTCCCACACCTCGGGGTTATGCGCCTCCAAGCCGCCGGCGTAGGTCGCGCCGTTGCAGCGGGACCAATGGTTACTCGTGAAGTCTACAAAGGCTGTATCGAGATCGCGGGTCTCGTTTTGTGCAAAAAGGAGGGGGGAGGGCCTGCTCCGGGGTATCGAGGACGGCGTTTGTGTGGTCCGCGCCGAGGAGGAAGTTAGACAGGTAGGTTTTCGCCATTGAGAAGTTGGTGGGCGTGTCGGTGAAGGTACTGTTCTCTTGCAGAAAGAGGCCGTATTTGTTATGGTTGTAAGTGACGAGGGTGGGAACGCGGTGGAAGCGGGTTGCGCGCAGGGCGGTGCGTGATGTTCCAGAAGAGCTGTGATAGGGCTGTGGCCGTCTCGGGTCGTGGCCAGCCGGATAGTGTGTTGCCGGGCTCGATGATCGCGTGAGCGAAGACATCCTTGAATGTAGAGGTTTGTAGGAGTGACATGATCGTTTGAAGTACCAGGTCGTACATTTGACAATAAGTCTGCCTACCCCGTCATACAATCACGAGCATTCCCAGCTGGATGCTGTATAGTACGCACCGGTAGCCCGATTGGCCAGCTAGTAGATTTCTAAGCAGTAGTAAAGTACGTACCGTAACGTAAGGTAGGGAATGTGGAGCGCCGTATCTTACATGACGGGTAGATAATGGTCCTATTGTGTAATTTACAACTCCCCAGCTCCACCGCAGCGGGGTCTTGCCGAGCCCGCGACAAACCACCGTGCACGGAGACGGGAAAGAGAGCGGAGCCTGGTCCGTGCTGATTGCTTGTTTCTCTTCTCTCCCTGAAAGGCCCCTGTTAGGATACGTTGACGTCATATCAAGGAGAACATCTTATACCTTCCCCTACCGACTTTCCCGGATATGGACTGCGGTTGGTCTTATTCCAGATTGTGCATCGTGCTCGTCCATAGGGTCTATGTCTCCTTGTGATGTTTCAGGTTCGAGAATTGGTATTGCCCATTTTTGACTGTGAGGTTGAGATTGTCGGTATGGGGGTTCGGAGATACCGGGAGAGAGATCTATCGCACTTATTGTTACCCATTTCATTCCCCAGCCTGCTGTCGTATAATCTCCTACGCCCTCCGTCTAGACATTGATTATCTTGGTACATGTTCTGCACAGATCAGGGCTCATTGAGCGAGGTACTTGACGTGCAGCCTGAATCACCAGGCTTTGAAAGCGTCATTGCTAAGAGATTGCTCAATGCAACTGAGAGAACTCTGTTCCAGTTCCTATTTCTAACAACATTGGTCAAGTAGCAGAGTTTGTTCTAGACATTGTAACGGGCCGAGGTCCCTTCCACTACAATGTGATGTGTCAGAGACGAGGAGTGGAGTCTGAGTGGGCTGTGCTCGTCCTCTTCTGCCGCAGTCTTGTGCCTAACATGTTACTTGTCCCGCTCATTATCATGACAGATGGTATCAGCTCGCAGACACCAAGCTACCTGAGCATACTCTAGCAGTTGGCATTAGTCAAACTACAAGCTTTTCCCTTGATAGGATTTAGTACTAGTACTAACCCAGTGTCCCCACCATCAAGTTAATCATCCGATGACAAACACCCACACAAGATCTCACAATCTACTGGACTGTGTCCACTTCCAACAAGACACTACAAATCTACCAACAACACTCGCAAAAACCACACCCCATCTCCCAAGCAACCCAATCTCACCCATCAACCTACATCCTCCCCCTAACCTCCCCGGCACCACCCCCAGCCAACCCATCCACTGCCCTAATCAACGCATAGACCGTCTCCAGAACAGGCACATCAACTCCAGCCCTCCTCGCCCGCCCCACCACCGTCCCAATAATCACATCCACCTCCATGCGCCGCCCCATCTCGCGATCAGTCTGCATACTCGTCCTTACCGCCCCGAGCCCCTGCATCCGGGCGATCTGCTCCTCGACCAAGGCCTCCCGCAACGCCACGCCGGACGCGTGCGCCACGCGCACCACCTCGCGCATCAGCCGCTTCGTCAGCGGCAGCGCCTCCTCCGAAGACCGCAGCCAGGCCTGACAGTCCTGCGCCGTCAGAGTGGTCAGCGTATTCCAGGCGCAGTTCCACATCAGCTTCTCCCAGCGGGTGCGCTGCAGGGCGTCCGGCGCGAGCGGGGTCAGCGGCGTCGGGTGCGGGTTCGCCGGGGTGCTGAGGATGTCGATGAAGGTCGAGAGACTAGGGACCGCGGAGGGGTCTGCGGGCGGGTAGAGGCCTAGTTGCGTTGCTTCGGAGGTCGTGTGGGTTGTTGTCCCCGGGGTAGGTTGGTGGGCTCCTACCCATGTCTTTCATTTCCAATATCAGTATCGGTGTCTGGTGACAGAGGTATTCGGGGGGAGTGTGGGGCCAGATGGGAGAACGGTAGGGAGTATACGCACCACGCACGAGATGATCGGGTTCTCGGGATACAAGCGCCGGAACGGCTCTTCGTTGCCTACACCGTTCTGGATGATCACGATCGCGGTGCGGTCCGTAATGGCTGGCGCGAGGAGGCGGGCGACGGTGTCCACGTCGATGGCCTTGTTCGTGCAGACGACGTAGTCGAATGGGGCGGAGTTTGGGGCGAGTTCCGAGGGCGAGCGGATTACTGTGCTGTCGTTAGTATTCAGGCTGCGGTGGGTGGGCGAATGGACGAATGTGTGAATGCTTACCGCGGTCCGGGTGGAAGCGGTGCTCGCCGTGGTTGGCGCTTTTCAGCAGGATGCCCTATCCCTTGTTAGGCTTTCAATTCAGCGAGAGATTCGAAGAAGAGGGTATACATTCTCCTGGACAGCCGCGTAGTTCGAGCGAGCGACGACCGTCAGACGCACGCGGGGACAGCTGCGCAGGATGAAGGCGTAGAAGGAGCCAATGCTGGTTCTGATTCAGTCAGTTCTACTGAATCAGGGATGGTGAATACTCACGCGCCGAGGCCAAAGAGAAGGACTTCGATCTTGTCAGACATTGTGAGATTGTTGTCCAGCACAGGTGCAGACACTTGCAGGCGATGTAGAAGATATGGGATTGACTGAGGCGGGGAAACGTGGGGCTTGCATGGCAAGGAGCAGCATCCCGTGCGGGGGTCGGTCCAATTCCGGCGGGTTTCTGTCCGAGTGAGCCGACATCCCACGTTGCCCCTTTGCCCCTGAACAATTAGTAACTACTAGCTGACAGGTTCACCGGTTCCTAGACACATTGCCACACAATTTAAGAATAAACAGGCCACAGATTGACCCAATGGTTGAGGAGCAAATCTTAGCCTCACAGACACTAGGTAGACCATAAATCCCACATCTACATCTATACATCAACCAACCCTCAATCCTCCCAACAAACCAAGGTATATACCAGTCCCCTGCCTCAAAGCCCCCAACTCCCACCCCAATTCAAACCCGTCAACCCGCTCACCCCTCAACAAACCCACAAGATCACCTTAAAACATTCCAGACCCCCGTCTCCATCCACAACTTAGTATACTGCTTATGCAACCAAAACACATGCGCCGGCATGGGCGGCGCCCCAGCCCCGTCCGCACCCGGTTCGTTCTTCGTCCCCTTGAAGAAAACACTCTTCAACCCGAACTCCGCAACCCCCTCCTCGGGCTTCACGACCGCCGAGATCTCAAACAGGCCATCGGAGTCGCGCACCCCGGTCTTGCGGGGCGAGTCGCCGCACCGCACGACGATCCGCTCGGGGGTTTTTTCGACGACCTCGAAGTGGTCGGTGATGCGCGTGCCGACCTCGTAGTTGGCGGAGCGCAGCTGCTCCCGGGTCCATAGGTCGGTGGCGGTGGCCGGGGATTCGTATTTCTTGGAGAGGTAGCGGCGTTGGTAGGCGTATCCTAACATCATTTCACCTTAGTTCTGTGGTATATGAGGGGGAGGTGGTGCGCTAGCTAGCTATTGTAGCAAGCTAGCGGGAGTTTGCAGGGTAGTAAAAAGGAAAGGGAAACTCACCCCAACCACTCCACACGCCCGCGCAGAACGCCTCCGTCAATTTGCCCTTCTTCTCCAGCAGCGAGGGGTTGATATCCGCCAGCCGCACGCGGCGGATGCACAGGTCGTGGCTCGTGGGGTTGTTGTGCGGGTTCAGGGTCTGGTAGCCTGGCGTGTGGAAGATGGGGTCGGTGGTGGGGAGGGGGACGAAGGTGGAGTTACGCGTGGCGAAGAAGAAGGCGCCCAGGGTGGCGGTGCCACCGATGGTGGTGAGTTTGAAGGCGCGGCGGATGAGACCCATTGTGTGTTGTGGGTGGTGAGGTGGTAGTGATTAGGGAGGTTGTAGATGGTGGTTTGGTGACGGTGACGGTGACGGTGACGGGAAGGAAGGTCGAGTGAGATCATCGGTAGCGGGAGCGGAGGAGCGCCTCGGATCGGATTTACTCCGGTTGCGGTAGCCGGATATCTTTATATACAAAGAGGTTAGCTGTGCATTGTCTGTCTAATCTTCAGTGTTTCGATCAATACAATTGTACAATGCTGAGAAAGAGCTAAAATGACAATCTATTTTGATTGAATAAACTAATCAATAATATTCATCATGGTATCTCTCTATCTCGGACAGAAAAAAACCAATCCGCCCAAATCTGTACAGTGCAAACAAAATATAAACATCGAAGAACCAAGCCCAAGCCCTCACTCTATCCCTCCTCAATACCTAAGGTCTGGGCCACCTCCCCATCCAATCCCTAACATAGCGCCCCAGAATCCCATCCTCGACGATCCTCAACCTCCCATTCCGCAACGTAACACTATCCCTCTCCGCCCGATCCGTACAGAACCCAGGCTCTTTTCTGGCGTCTGCATACATCGCCTCATAATGCCCCACCAACTTGACCGCAGGGTTCACCCCCTCCTCCCCGCGCGCCTCACTCTCCCGCAACCTTTCCAACCACTCCGCAAACCCCACCGTCCGAAACCCATCGAACCCGCACTTCTTCAACCCCTGCAACAACACCCCCCAGTCAAACCGATGCGGATTCGTCAGGTTATACACGGAATCATCATCCTCCGTCCAGCTATCCACACTGCCCGCATCGGAGTCCGTCTCCGAGGAGAAAGACCCTCGCCGCGACGCCGGCGGCGTATGCGAGCACACGGCGCGCGCGATCTCCAACACAGCGGCCACGAGCTTATCGACCGGCAGCCATGCGCACTGCACCCCGTCCAACCGGGGCAGACAGCCCAGCGTCAGCGCGGAGCGGAGCAGCAGCGGCAGGGCCTCATCGTCGTTCCACAGCCCGCGCTTCGAGTGGCCGGAGACCTGGCCGATGCGGAGCGTGAACGCCCGCGCGGACGCGGTGCGCCGCGCCGCGCTGACCATCCGCTCACCGATTAGCTTCGAGCGGCCGTAGCCCATCTCCAGGGCATCGGATAGATCGGCGATGGGGGATTCCGGGACGAGGGGTTGCGGGGAGCCCAGAGCCGTGGAGATGGAGCTGCAGTACAAGAGGACGGCGGGGGAGGGGAGGGCGACGCTGAGGGAAAAGCGGAGGAGGTTGTGCAGGCCGCGGAGGTGAGGCTCGAAGGCGCTGAGCGGGAGGTTGAAGTTGACGGGCCATGCGGTGTGGATGATTAGCGAGACGGAGCGGAGCATTTCGTTGTAGACGTGCGGGTCGAGGCCGAGGTGCGCCTGGTCGAGGGCGCTGGTTAGGGCTACGATCTTCTGCGTGCGGAAGGCTGGGAGGGTTAGGTGTTTTTTGGGAGAGGGAGGCGAGGATCGAGGCTTTCGCGTCGCTGCGCCGCGTCAGGCAGTAGATGCGCGACACGGTGTCGTCGTTGACGAGTTTGTAGAGCGTGTGCGCGCCGATCGAGCCCGTTGGACCGGTGAGAAGCTGGTTTCGCACATGTTAGCGCTATCGCAGCGCACTGGGGATAATGCTGCGGGGCTGGGTACTTACAACGCTTCGGGTGTTGGACACCTCCTCCGGACGAGGGGTGTGCACCGGGAACCCCGACGAATATTTCTCAATCAGCGCCGGCATCATGGCCAGCTCGTCTTCGTCTGCTACTACCCCCTCATCGGAGTGCCCGCTCTGCGCAGCGGAAATGCACTCCGCCAGACGGGCGATGCTGCCGGTCTCGAACACGATGTTGTGGCTGATGCTCCGGCTGCTCGCGAGGCGGAAGTCGCGCAGGATCAGCCGGCGCAGATGGATGGCCTTGAGGCTGTCCATGCCCTCGGCAAAGAAGTCCGTCTCGAGGTCGAGGCGGGGCATGGCCAGCTCCTCGCGGCAGAGGCGCAGCAGATGCTCCTCCGTGGCCTGCAGGTCCAGCTGCAGGGTGCCGTGCGCGTCCTGCTCCATGCGGTTGTACATCCCCTCAATCACCTCTGCGTATCGTGAATACACCTGGGCGCGGATCATCGACCCCTTGTCTGTGCGGGGCACGACGCGGTCGGCGGCCAGCACCACGACCATGTCCCGGGAGATCTGCGAGAACTGCTCCGCGTGCGCGTTGGCGTCTTCCACCGTGGGCCAAACGAGGTCCAGAAACTCTGCGTCCGAGTATCGGTGCGAGCCGTCCGACCGGAAGACAAGCAAGCCCGGCACCGACTGGCTCACGCCCACCACCACCGCCTCGTCGACCAGGGGGTTCTGCTTGACGCGGCCCTCGATCGGAAGGGGGAGGACCTTCTCGCCGTTTACCAGCGTGATCCGATCGTCGATGCGCGAGACGTACTTCCACCGATCGGGGATGGTAGGGTGGGGCGTGAAGACGTCGCGCGAGTGATACGAACCAGGCGGATCATCGGAGTTCGAGGCTGTCAGGGCGGGATGGCCCTGGAGGTAGACGACTTCGTACAGCTCATCGCCGATGGGCTTCATCCAGATGAAGGGGCGGATGTTGTCAAAGAACTTCATGTAGTTCCAGTAGGGATCGTCGGCGGGGCGGGAGATCGACTCGGCCACTAGTCCAGCTTCCGTTCTGTGCATCATTGATTATCAGCAACCGCAAACAAATCCCTGTCGAAACAGAAAACTCACAATCCGAAAGACCCGCCAAACTTCACCCCCTCCGCGACCAACCGATCGCCCAACTCATCCGGACAGGGGGCGCCTCCGTATGTGACCGAGTCGCAGCGGCGCAGGACCTGCAACCCCCGCGGACTGTCGACCAGGAGCTGCAGGAGGTACGGCACGCCCTGCACGGACTCCGGACGGGCAGCCTCCAGGGCAGCGACCGCCGTGCTGGCTGTCAGCGGAAGTGAGGCGTCCCACATGTACGCGGTGCGGCGCATGTACATGGCCTGGAGTGCGGTGGAGAGCCCGTGAAGATGGAACCACGGAAGGGAGTTGAAGGAGGTGTAGCCCGGGCCACGCATGGGATGCGTCATCAGGGCCTTGTGGCTGAGGTACAGGGGTTTGGGGTTGCCGGTTGAGCCGGAGGAATGCAGGATCAGGGCGATCTTGTGGATTTGCGTCTCCGGGCTGCGGCTGCGGCGGAGCACCAGCATGGCCGGTTCCTCGACATCCTCGTCCAGCGAGGGTCGTTGCACGATGGGGCGACACGCCACCAGCTTCAGACGCAGGATCTCCCCCATCGTGGTGCGGATGTTGGGGGTCTGGCCGTACAGGATGGTGTCACAGCCGACCATGTCGAGCAGGGCCACGCAGGCGGATGCCGATAGACGCGGGGACAGCATCATCACAGTGTAGCCTAGTCGGCTCAGGGCGAAGAATGTGACGACCATGTTCAGGTCGGAGAGCGTGAATAGCGCCACGATGGCTCCATTCTGGCGGGGCTGTTATTCGGTCAGCGGTGCTCTACCAGAGAGAGTTGGTTACTTACTGGCTTGAAGCCATAGTCCATCAGCGTGCACACGGCTTGATCAACCATGCAATCCAGGTCCAACCCGGAGAAGTACTCGTACTCCACCGTATCGTTTTGGGAGGGTTTGGGGTAGGCAAGAATAGGATGCTGGATGGGGTCAGCTGCCCGTAGACGGATCAAGTCATCCAGCAGATGGAGACGACCGAAGCGAGCAATCAACTGTTCTGGCGAAGAGGGCTTGAGCCTCTCGTGGGAGGTCCCTTCATGATGAAGGATACCCATGGTGAAGGATCAAGGTGATGTAGTGGGTCAGAATGATTTCGAAGAGGTATCACCGGGCGCGACATGAGTCTTTTAAACCTGAGGACGGTAGATGCGATGTGTAAGAGACATGGAACCCCGTCTCCGTACTGCCACTCGACGGAGCCACTTCGATATCCCGGTTTGGGAATTCACACATCCTTCAGGTTAGTAGCGGTAACTATACCAGTGGCAAGCCGGCTATGAAACCGACCCCTATAATCCCGTGGCATCATAGATCCGAAGCGGTGAAATTGGTATGCGGTCTGAATCAGGACTGGCTGTGGGAAGGATTTTCTTTTTCGTATTTTGTCCTTTTTTTTTTTCTATTTTTTACCCTTGCTCTGGTGACCATGACGTGGGTCGGGGGGAGATGACGAGGAGAAGAGGGGAGAGTAGTGGAGAGTGACTACTCGTACTCCGCAGTGACGGCGCAGAAGAGAAGCTCAAGCCCTAACTTTAACCCATCGCACGGGCCCAGATCGGGCCCAGACCCATTAAGCACGATCGGGACGAGTCGCGTAATGACCCTATTTACCCAGTCTGCTAGCAAGCAGTTCCCGTCGGTCAGGGCAGGTATCCAATTATTCAGGGTGATGGATGGACGGTCACACTGCAGTGTCGACTGCACGAGCGGGTTGCCAGGCGATCCCCAGTGATGATGAAGGAGTTGCGTGGTACTGCATGATGCCGTCCACCTTTTTCTTCCTCGACCCTCGTCAACCAGCGTCTAGAAAGAGGGAAATGGCCAGGATGCGCCCAGGATGTGACCAGGATGATGCTCCAGTCACCCGGGTTGTCGGCTCCAGGAACCTGGTTTCCCCCCCTCCCCATCAGCCATCCAAAAAGTCCCGCGGGTCGATCGACGATCAATCTGGTTTTTACGTTTTGGTGCCTAAAATGATGATGCTTACTACAAAGTATTATCACTTTCTCCGTCTACAACATGTCTCAACACAGTGGGGAAATATGGTTCAGCCCAAGGGGGCAGAAGAGGGGGGGAAATGCAGGATGTCTGCCAATGGAAGATGAATCGCGGTGCGGTGGCAGGCAGCGGGATGTGAGGGGAGACACAGGCCCACTGTCGCGGGAAACCCATACAGCAACCAGAATGAATGATGACTGGTGTCTCCGTAACTGAATTCAACCTTGTACACAAGCTTCCTATTTGGCTTTGGGTTTTTCCTTGAATAGAAATTCAGACCACAAATGATTTTTTAGGGTCCACTGGTTCGGTGGAGCTGACGGACGGAGTGGCCGTGTGGCGAAGAGTTTACCGACCGAGCTGAAGAAACTCCATTTGACTGGAAGAGGTCCACGGTTTTTCGGCGACACTACCGGACTTGGGCAGGGGGGAGAGGGGGAGAGAAGAAAATAGTTCACGCAAGTTAGCGAAAGGCACGAACTGCGCGTGCAGATAGGTAATTCTGCAGCAAAGGCGCCTATCTGAGTGTCTGGGGGGTGGGTAGTGACTAAGTCCTTTTCTGTTGCAGGGTACTTTTGGCGAGCTGGAGGAATGACAAATTCTCCGCCTCACTTTGTACGGTCCCGCGTTGTACTTTGACTCCATTTTGTCAGTCACAGTATCGCAAAGTGACAGATCACCTCGATCCAAACTTGGACTCTCTGCTTTATCAAGAATCCGTCCCGGAGATGGCTCAATGGGTCAATTCTATCCGTAGATTCTCCGCCCAAGTAGAGGAGCTGAGTACGGGTGGAGACACGGCGACTAGTGATTTACTCTGTAGTCGGTACCGTACAAGTGATCGATGATCTATCCACAGGATACTCCGGACTAAAGACAACTCGAAGGAGGTAAATAGAGCCTTGCAATCTGATTCGCTCTCAGCAACTCCCCTCTAGTATACTAGGACCCATCGAGCCCTGAGATCTTCCGGAAAGGCTCGGGGAAAGCCTTCTTCCCGTTCCCTTCCCGCCATTACTGTCCTCAAACAATGGGCCCAACCCGCCCTTTTCCACTGGCCTATTCGATCAACATCGCCTTGTCATGTTTGATACTCATCACTCCTCTCAACGGTTTGCTTTCTTTTCCTTCCAGACGTCCAGGCCTCACCGAATCTTCTGCTGCTTGTTTGATCCTCTTTTTCAGGCCGTCTGGACGCAACCTGATTGGATGGGGCAGGGAAGGGGTAAATTCGAACCGCCACGCCCAGAAAAAGCAACAAGCAGCAATATTGCGTCTTTCGCTGCATGAGCTATGCATTCGCCCAATCACTCTCTTGCAATTGGATGATCTCGTGTCGTCAGTCCCCCCTCCATTTTCCCTCCACTGATTATCCCTGTGTAACAGAAAAGCAAAGAGGAAAAAAAAATTCTTCAGTCCTGTCTGCATTCCTTTGGTCCCACAGCCCAGGGTGGTGGTCCATCCCGGCTTCGGCATCTCGATCATCTGACCGGAAGTCCATGTCTGGGACTTCTTTGACTGTCCTTTGTTCATTTCTGGGCTACTGTGAAAAAGAAAAAAAGGTCCTAATGTAAACCCTTCCGTCGGCTTTTCGAGAATCAACCCAAGCCACAAATCGAGGCTGGTGATGAGGCCGGAAAAGAAAAGAAAAGAAAAGAGAAACCCATGATTCGGCAGCATCTATCCGGGTTTATCGCCTGCCTCGGTTGATCGTCTATCACCAAGATCATCAAGTGAGCACATGTTCAGGAGAACGTATTACCGGAGTACTGCCTTGCAGAAATCCTGAATCGAGGGGAACGTGCTGAGAACGAATCATGGAGGTGTTGACGATCTCTCAATCTGGTGGTTGCTCGCAGCTCGGTCGCTCGGTCGCTCATTCGACTTGACTTGACTCGATTCCATCCGATTGACTTTCCAAGCGACTGCGATCGCGACGCTATGAGCGTCTCCCCCTCCACTCAGCTGATACAGCCCATTCGCTGCTTGCGGAGGTTGATCCATGGATATGGAGACGGGCTCCATACGAAGGAAGGGATCCATCGCGGCGGCTAAACCGACTACCAACAGACACTCCTATCCAGGATCCCGGGATGAACTTGGGTCGTATCTCGCATGATCAGACGGGGTCCGTGGATGACCTCGTGTGAATGGTGGAAACTCGACTCGTGCATGCATTCTCTCCGCGTGAGAGAAGGGGGGAAGTTCATCTACGTGACTTCCCAGATGATGCTATCTGTGTGCGATGAGACGGGGTGACGAGAGACACCTCTGGCTGAGATGGGCGAGGATGACGACTTGCCCGCTCTGTAGATCATTTGTGCAGCGTAGATGTCAGGATTCCGATCGTGCGAATGTGATACTATCCCGGTGCAGAATGACGGACACCGTCTGGACGCTGTGGCGCTGTGTGGCGCTGGAGACCCCGGGAAGGAAGACGATTGGAAGCTTCTCTCCGAAGGAGGGATTGGCATTGATAACGCCCGATGGGAATGTATCACGGTCGGATCCTTTCTCAGTCAGCTGTGTCTGGCTGGTTGTTCGCCCCATTGATGTAATCTCACTCTGCCGGCGTGCAGGTATACCTCAGCTTGCAGAATAGATTGAATGTACGGAGTATACTACATCATCGTGAACACCACCATTGAACCCAATGTGCCAATTTAGCTCCGAGATATTCAGACAGAAAACCAGTTTCAACGTGCACCCATTGAGCCCCTACAGAGATAATCCCTGTCTTGCAGCTTCACCTCCTGCCGGAAGTGCATCAAACGTGTAACACCGTCCCACGTAATCCGCCTGCTCTCCCGTTTCGTCTCCATCTCTCCGTAATCATCAAAAGAAAAATCCCCAGCGAGAAAAAAAAAAAAAAAAACAACCCCCAAAACTAAATTAAATCTCCGAGCCCTTGGCCCCCCTACCCCCTCGCGGGGTCTAGCCCTGTCATCAGCAAATTATTGGAAACCCTATACCCTATACTGATAGAGTACCCCTACGCATCAGTCTTGCACGGATAGCTGCACGCATCAAAGCCGCATCCAAGGATTTACCCCCCAGTGCAGGGTCCATCGATATAAAAGCCCTAGAGACCATGCCCGATGATTCACACCGCTGTTCACAATCACCGTGATTTCTTCCACCGCTGGAAAAACGAACCCAACTGCTCAGACTTTATTTTTTTTTTCCTGCCTGCGTATACTTCTGCCCTAGACGCGCTCTAGACATTCTATAGACCTTGTCGAACTGCAATACTGTCCTTGCCATCCTGCCTGTGCATGAAGCATACGCCCTCACCTCCACCTGCTTGTCTTTGCTTTTGCTAGTATCGGTCAGGCAACATGGCCCCGATTTTCCTCGGTGACAGCAGCAACAGCGGCCGCAGCAGCAGCAACGAAGCTCCCACGCCCACCGCACCAGAATCTTTCCTCCCACTCCTCGAGCAAATCAAACAGGCCGTGCTGCAGGAAGAGAGCCCCGACCGGACGGCCAAATCTCACTTCCAGCTTCTGGGACTGGTGGACCAACTGCGCCTCGCCATTGAGAGCCCGACCGAGACGCTGCTGCGGTTGATCTACCAGGTGAGAACGCTTGACACCTGGCAGCAACAATCCCCGTTTGTGACTAACAGCCACCAAAACAAAAAAAAGCCCCCGCAGAACGCCGCCCTTCGCACCGTGATGGACATGAACCTATTCCCACTGCTCATGGACCACCGCCCAGCAGGCCTGTCCGCGACCGCGCTGGCCGAGAAGACCGGCGCAGAGCGGGCTTTGATCGGTACTTGACCCCAAACCCAAACCCCAATGTTCCAGACAATAATCCAAGATCCCTTACTGATGCTTAATCGTCTGACAGTCCGACTCATGCGCGTAATGGCCTCATTAGGGCTATGCACGACCCCGGCGGCGGAGCACTACGCCGCGAACGAGAAGACCGCCGCGCTGATCGCGCCCATTGGTCGGGACGGGGTGCCATGCATGTACGTTTACCCTTTACCTATGCATCAGCACAGCAGCAGCAGCAATATCTCCCCAAGCCACCTTCACATCTACTGTACCTCTCAACCCGAAACGATATTAACACCCTCCCAAAGCTACGACCTAACACTACCAACCCTCTCCACCCTCCCCACCTACTTCGCCACGCACGCCTACACCACCCCCAAGGAATACGCCCACGCGCCCATGAAATGGGCCGTCGGCGCCAGCCAGTTCGAGTGGCTGGCCGCCCACCAACCCCGCCAGCAGCGGTTCAACTCGTACATGGCGAGTCGGCGCGCGGGGAAGCCCGAGTGGTTCGAGATCTATCCGGTGGCGCGACTGACCGATCCTTCATTGCCGCCACTCCACGAAGACGACCCCGAGGCGGTGTTGATTGTGGACGTAGGCGGGAACCAAGGGCACGATTTGCTCGCGTTCCAGGCCCGGTACGCTGACCTCCCCGGGCGGCGGGTGCTGCAGGATTTACCAAAGGTGGTGAAATGGGATGTCGGGAGGGGGATTGAGGCGATGGGGTGTAGTTTCTTGGAGGAGCAGGTCGTTAAAGGTACGTCCCCTCTCTCTCTCTCTCTCTGTGGGGCTTTTCTTGTGGGGTGGGGTGGATTGTGGGATGTGGTGGTGTATGGATTCACCCCTTGCGACATCCTCAACCTTATGCCCCAACGTCAACTCGGTGAGCACCGCGGTCACCGATCAGTATGCTAACGGTGGCACCAGCCGCACGAACCTACTACTTCCGCGCCATCTTCCACGACTGGCCCGACGCCACCTGCCTCCGCATCCTGCAGAACACCGTCGCCGCCATGGACCCCGCGCACTCGCGGGTGCTCATCGTTGACATGGTCCTGCCCGACACGGACGTGCCGCTGCTCCAGGCCTCCCTCGACATCCAGATGATGAGCATCGGGGCGGGCGTGGAGCGCTCGGAGCGCCAGTGGCGGGATCTGTTGGGGAAGGCCGGGCTGGAGGTGACAGGGATTTGGAATACGAATCCCGGGATGGAGTCGGTGATTGAGGCTGTTATCAAGCCAAGGCAGTAATCTTATCCTCTACGGTAGGTGATGGTTTGGGTATGTGTGGGGATAGGGGGTTGGCTCGAGAGGCAAAGGCAGTGTTCGGTGTTTCAACTGTGAATAGGGTGGTGTCTGTGCGTATTTAGGTCCTATCGGTACATGACTTATCTGGGTAGGGAAGTTGATAGATAGATAGATAGATGGTGATGGTGATGGTACAGGTATGAAGGAAGGTCGGCGTTAGGTTGACAACTTGACAGGGCGCTACGTCGTGGGTTAGGGTTTTTTGACAGGTCCAATAAACTAAATTAGAAACTCTGTTTCCACCACTTATGCCTCCCTCTTCCACCACCAAAACACAATTCCAACACAATATCCGGAGTCTCCGGCGAACACGAAGTTGCCTTCAATCCCAGGAAACCTCCTTACTGAGTCTGGGGTGTTACAACAGCAGCAGCAGCAGCAGCAGCAGCAGCGCAGCCTCAATGGACTTCCTACCACCTTCAAACCATCCCGAGACCCGCAACGCAACAAAGCAAAAGGTACTCAACCCCAACTCGGCTCAAACCCCCAGACCTCCAACCCATACACTTTCCGCCCCTTGCATAACCACCACCTTGCAACGTAATCCCCTTCAAGTAGACTAAACACCTCAGTGCCGCCGCAGCGGTCACGATCGGTTATCGGTATCGCGACCTTTCCTCCGCCACGCACGCACCAACCACATAACCTGCTACTCGTCGCCATGGCACCCACCATCGTAGAACAAGCACTCCACGACCACGCAACCCCACCCGAAAATTGCATATGAACCAAATCCACATCCAGCATAGCCTGTCCTCGTCCTCCAACCTCTGCTCTGCACAATTAACATCGTATTATCATACTTTATTGGAGTTTGAGCACCCAGCCGGTGGAGAAGAGGTTGTCAGTTGGAGCTGTCATATTGGTTTACCGCAAGGGGGTGACGGCGGCGCGGTCATGGGGTTACGGACTGGAAAGGTCGGTTTCACGGCACTTGAAGCCGGATGGGGGGACTGTCTTCGCACCGAGAGAATCACCGAGGGATGTGGAGGCTGGGTCGTCGACTGGACTGGTTACAGTGGCTATTGTTTTGGACAGCGCCTTCTCGGTTCGGCATGGTTGGGGAGAGGAGAGTCAGGTATACGGTGTGGACAAGCACTGCATTGGCCCCTGGCTCTCGTGTCGAGGCTGCACTCGGTCGATACTCCCTTCGAAATGGCATTGTGGTTATGCGGAATCGGACTGCTGGTGAAACAGGTTGGATTTTTCATTTCCCTTACAAATTGCTGATAGGACGGCTAATACTCCCGTGCTTCGGCTGAATTGATGGTTTGCCTTGGTTCTATGTTGCGTTTCTGTGAAACCTCATTGTCTACACTAGCACTTCTAAACTATTCTGAACAGCCTTTCGGACTCACTTGATTCAACTATTTAATCTATCTAGATTTGACAAGTAACAAGGTTGAAGCCAGCAGTGTTGAACCAACAGCCATCAACACGCCGGCATCAACAAGTGGACGAAGTTATAATACATGAATCCACGATGAAGGGAAGAGAGCTTCCATGGGATATATTGCAACAAAAACAATTTCAAAACAATTAAGTTCAGTGGCTCTAAACAAGCAAGATCATGGCGAGAGCGCCAACGATGCCGGACGCACCAAGGGACATCTTGCTAGCACCACCAGTGAAGAGGGCGGCGGCAGGAGTAGTGGCAGACGATGAGCCAGAGCCGGAGCTGGAGCCGGATCCCGAGCTGGAGCCCGAGCTTGAGGTTCCAGAGGTGCTGCTAGATGAGGTAGGAGCACTCGTGGGAACGCCAGGGGCGGCGAGTCTGCTAGACGAGGGAGCGACGGAGAATGAAGGCACAGCAGAGCTGGAGGCACCGAAGCCGATGGCATCAGCACCGGACGGGATAACCCCAGAAGCGCCGGATCCGTGGCTTCCACTGGAGGAAGCAGAGCTACCCTGACCGTTGGCTTCGGCGCTGGCACCGCTCACAGAAGAGCCATTGGCAGATGCAGCCGCAGACGCGAAGTTACCAGAGCTGCCGTTGGCTTCAGCACTGGCACCGCTTGAGGCAGAGGCCGAGCCAGATCCAGAAACAGAGCTGCTTGAGCTGCCGTTGGCCTCGGCACTTGCTCCTGAGGCAGTGGAGCTAGCGGAGCTACCCGAGCTGGCATTGGCCTCAGCACTTGCGCCAGCAGTAGAGCCAGTAGAGCCGGAGCCAGTAGAACCAGAAGATCCAGTAGAACCGGTAGAACCAGTGGTAGACTCGGAAGAGCTGCCAGTGGAGGAGGTGCCAGCGGAAGTGTTTCCAGAAGAGCTACCAGTGGAACCGGTCGAGCCAGTGGAGCCGGACGAACCAGTGGAGCCGTTGGAAGAGCTTCCAGTGCTGCCAGAGGAGCCAGTAGAAGTGCCCTGATTACCATTGGACTCTGCACTAGCACCGCTGACGGTGGAAGAAGAAGGAGACGAGCCGGTGCTAGACTGAGTGGACGAGCCACCAGTGGAAGGGGTGTTGTCGGAAGAACCAGTGCGTGACTCTTCAGAGGCAGAAGCACCGGTGGATGAGCCGGTAGTAGAACCAGTAGAACCAGTGGAGCCGGTTGAACCAGTCGAGCCAGTAGAGTCAGTCGAGCCAGTAGAGCCAGTAGACCCGCTGGTTGAACCAGTAGAGCCAGTAGAGCCAGTAGACCCGCTGGCTGAACCAGTAGACCCAGTAGACCCAGTAGACCCAGTAGACCCGCTGGTTGAACCAGTAGAGCCAGTAGAGTCAGTAGAGCCAGTAGAGCCAGTAGACCCGCTGGTTGAACCAGTAGAGCCAGTAGAGCCAGTAGAGCCAGTCGAGCCAGTAGAGCCAGTAGACCCGCTGGTTGAACCAGTAGAGCCAGTAGAGCCAGTCGAGCCAGTAGAGCCAGTCGAGCCAGTAGAGCCAGTAGAGCCGCTGGTTGAACCAGTAGTGCCAGTAGAGCCGGTCGAGCCAGTAGAGCCAGTCGAGCCAGTAGAGCCAGTAGAGCCAGTCGAGCCAGTAGAGTCAGAATCAGAGCCAGCACCAGAGCCGTTGGCCTGAGCGCTAGCACCGCTGACAGTGGTTGAGGAGGCAGCAGGAGAAGAACCGGCGCCGCTAGCGTTAGACCCAGAGGAAGCGCTCCCACCGGTAAGACCAGCAGCACCAGTCCTCTCTGCAGAGCAGACAGTGGCAGTAGCAGTAACGGTCACATAACGAGTAGACTTGGACACGGAGCTCGAGTTTTCACCGGCAACAGAGATAACACCGACAGTGGCGACCTGAGAAGTGGATTCGGAATCGGCAGAGGCGGACTCGGCGGCGGCAGCGGGAGCAACGGTGGTGGCAGCAGATGTGGCGGCAGCATTGGTAGCGGCGGCATTGGTAGCAGCACCGTTAGTGGCAACAGAAGTAGTGGCAGCAGCATCGGTGGCAGCAGAACTGGCAGAAGCAGCGGTAGCAGCAGCGTTGGTAGCAGCATTGGCAACAGACGTCGTGGCAGCAGTAGCAGAGGCGACAGACTCGGTCTCGCTGGCGGTAGAGACAGACTGAGCAACAGAAGTGGCACTGCTGGCAGCGACAGAAGCAGAGGCAGAGGCAGAGGCAGTCGAGTTACCAGTCTGGAAAATCTTGATGTAGTTGATCTCCCAGAAAGACTCCTCAAAAGCAGAAGGGTTCTCGGCAACATAGGCAACACAGCTCTTGGTAGCACTGGTCTTGTCGCTGATAGGGCAGCCGGACGAGAGGAAAACACCACCGGCCCAGTCACCACAGAAGGTAGTGTCGAAGATGAACTTCTGCGACTTGAAGTGTTCGGCGAAGTTGCAAGATCCCTGCAAGTGGCCCATGGGAGTGCCGAAAGCAGAGATATCGGGGGTGCCAGCAGTAATCGACGTGGGAATCGAGTCACGAGCAAAGTACCAGAACTTGATATAGTCCTCCTGCCACTCCATAGCATACACACCACCACCTTGTTCGTTGAAAGGGGTGCCTGAAGAACCCTCAGAGCTCTGGACGACACAACCCGTGGTTCCAGCATCCTCACCACAGTGGGTGGCGGTCAAGGTACCAGTCATATCACTTTGGGCAGAGACGTCACAGGTGCCGCTGGTGTGAAGGACAATCTCGCTGGCCGTGTTCAAGTTGACAGCCTCAATGATATCAATCTCGCCATCGGCAGGCCAATTGGCACCGGTCGACCAGAAAGCAGGCCAGGTACCGCATACGCTGCCGGGCATGTGTGCGAGATCAATGATGAAAAGACCGTGGTCATAGTACTTCTTGCTCTCGATGCGGACCGACTCACGACCGGGTCCGGTAGTGCTTAGCTTTGTTGTGTGGTCAACACCCATGTAGAAGGAGCCATTGTTGTTGACCTTGACCAGTCCGGAACTCTCCGCATAGCTTTGGTTAGTGTAGGTGACAAAACCGTTCGTGGGGTCCGCGCCGGTGTAGAAGTCGAAGTATTCGAGGAAACCCTCGCCTTGCCAGGTTTGGACGAGGTTGTAGCTGGTGGCCAGGGCAGGCGAGATAAGAGCGAGTGAGCTCACGCTGAGAAGCGTGAATGAAGAAGGCATCGCCACTGGAGTGAGGTCAAGCGAGCGAGGACGATGCAAATGGTAAAGAGACGAGGCCCTGAAGAGTGGGTAGAAGATGAGATCGCGGAAGAGGGCTTTCCCGCAACGATTGGCGTCAGTAAGGGTGGTAAGGAATGATAGACAACAGCCTTCAAGGCCGATGACGTGGATTGAGAACGACCGACACGAGAGATCGAGGCGCAGAGATCAATCTGCAGCGAAAGGAAACAAAAGAATGTATAGGAATTATGAACAATCAGAAAGGGAGAGAGAAGAAAGGTAGGGAATGTACATCGAACCAACAACAAAGAAGCAAGTATGCGAAACCCGGCTCACGGCTGCGGGCAGGTCGGTCAATAATATAATAGGATAGTAAAATCCTAAATAGAACCATAACACACACCTCACCCTGGCGAGCCCCGACAGACACCCTGCCTAGCCAGAGCTTCGATGTTGAGTGGCTGCGGACCAGCATGGTTGTCGCCGGCCATAGCGAAACGCCTAGTCATTGTCGGCTGGGCCCATTCACCAAGCGTCAACGGAACACGGCCATTGGAGAGGGGGAGAAAGGGTGGTTCGTGCCGCGTTAGCGGGCTTTCCAGGCACGGAACGAATCAGCAAAGCGGAGCTGCATGAGTTTAGTTTTCCTTCATTCTTGGGCTCGGCATGTCGGGTGGATCGAACAACAGAGCAGAGACGTGGTGGTGGAAACCTGAAACGCGACGAGACTGCCCGAGGGGGGAAGATGAAACAGGAGACTGTCTTGGGTGTGATTGCGCTGCTAGCTGGTCGAGTTCTGCATGCAATGGACAAGTCTGTATGTAGAATGAACCAGGATTGTTGATCTATTGATTGTATCTTCGACCGATCGCAATCGAGCAGTGTTGTTGCTGCGCTGCAGAGAGGGAGGGAGATAGACGATGGTGTGCTGGGGGGCAACCATCAGCCCGTTCGCATTCTCGACCGGTCCAGCAGCGCCGCGGGCAGAATTGCCGATCCGGGGCACCAGTCCGAGGCAGAAGCAGAAGGCATCGTGCGAGGACCAAATCTTAATGGCGGGCGGGGATTATCAGGTTGACCGTCGACTAGATAGATAGACTATGCTCCATTCCCGCGTCGGGGTTGAGGGGGTTGAGTCCGTCCAGAGTCTAGAGTTCTAGACACGGAGAGGGTGGAGCAACACGGACGACGCCGTTGTTTCTTTGAGACCAAGTGGAGGAGAGAATAGAGACAAGAATAGCATCAAAGAGAACTCCAACCGTGTATGAGGACTAACTTTCCTTCAGCAATCATCTGCACTGAATGAATGGATAATCGATCAAAGAAAGGAAGGCGACTGGAGATGCCATTCCAGTAACTTGAGGTTGTTGCGGAAGAAAGAATGTCAGAAACGCGCATCCGCGGCACGATTCAACTGGTGCCTGACTGCCTTGCTGCCTGGCTGCCTGGCCGATGCCTCGAGTTAAAGCGTCAACTGTGGCTGGGGGAGGGGGGATTCTCCCGCTTTGCTGTGGCTCAACCGCGCCGACGCGTGGCTGACCGCCCCTCCCATCTCCCTCCAGGAGACGATCACCTCATGTAGATTTCCCATGCTCATCTATCCCATGAAAATTGAGCCTTAATTCCAAGTCCTAAGGTCATTCAATTTCTCCACTCCCGTCTCAACTCTTTCCATTCCTTGTCCTGACCACTTTCCCTGAACCAAATCTCCGTCCCCAGCACGAACAAAAGTCTACTATTTTTGTCCCGAGCTTTCCCCCTGAGCTACGATTTACTAGTATGTAGGCAAGGGACGAGCTACCCAGAAAGCAGGTGTCCTGCTCATGGGCTGAGAAAAGCCAAGCAAATCCGATGGAGACGGCCTTACGGTCCTGGACATGTGGTCCTGTGGTGCTATGGGTCCCTCGGCCCAAAGAGCCGTAACGTATCAGTAGTAGTACGGCTAGACGTCGGCCATCGCGGACATTGAGTGATTACGAGTATTTCTAGCGACCACAGAAGTTTTCAGCCGACGCTTACGAATCTTCTCTCTGCTGGCCGGACAGAGACAAACCTGTGACGCATCTAGTTATGGGGACTGCTTCCCCCTCCACGCAATACTGACAACGCCTGTCATATTCTCTTGGCTTTGCTTCCACATCTACACTTGATAATCCTATCTTGACAGAGACCCAAAATCTGACATGCAGGGTTGAAAATCTCCGTGCTCGCTAGTTTACTCCGGTAGTCTTCCAGAATGAACCCTGATCCGCGCTAGTCTCAGATTCTCGTATCCCCGTCGCTAGTCGCTACCTGTTGACTTTGGTGGCTAAGACAGGGGAACAGTCATGACTTGACTGCTAGTTTTCAGGTACAGCGCAGCCAAGAGAACCCCTGGCTCGTGCTGTGGGTAGAATTGGTCGACCTAGGGACTTTGCTCGCTCTAGATGTACACTTTGTGGGATCGGAATCGCTATTCAGGTCCCTGGCGACCTGCATGACTCGGTCAATGCCTGATCTATCGATTCGGTCATGTCCGGACCAAGAATGGGGCATGTTGCGGGCTTTTGCACGGTTGGCCACAAATTGAGAAAGCCTCCATAGAAGACCCTGTGATCCGCAGGGTGTGACTGGTCGGATACTTCGTAGACCCTCGCTAAATGGTGGAATCCGACCTATTCCATCCACCATCGTAGATTTGCCACGAACATCATTCTAGGACGTCCGATGGAACCCAGGGTCAAACACAAGCGTCGCATGGTAGCGGCGGTATGTCATTCGCATGTCGGTCTTAGAGCCACGCAACGATTCCTAATCACCGGAAGAAAGTTCCTCGGTGAGGTCGGTCGCCGACTGTGGCTTTGAGATAAGTGCTCATCCTTCCCAGACACGTAGGATGCACTTGTTGTTGACGTTCTTCAACAACATCAGATTCCTCACAGCCCGGTCATCGCATGGAACATTGCAGGGCTGTTTTCACTAAGCAGTCGATCACCTTCGCAGGAAAATCCGACCTCAGGCAGGCGTGCCGGGAAAAGTCCCTGTTACAGGAACTGGGCTGGTATCCCTCCCATGTCACATCACATACATGGGAAATGCGAAACCGGTCTGCTCTTTGAACCGAGGGCATCCGCCTGCCTTCACTTCAAATTTAGTACACCTCAGCCCATACCTCAGCCCCCAGTACACTCTCTGAGAGCCTTTTCCACATCGCGACGGCGGAAACCGGGGGTCCATCCAAGACAAATGCCACACCCCGACAAAACTATAACACGTTAGCAAATAGACTCAACTCGATATTTAACTCCGGAAGCACATACTCTTGATCAGCCGCTTCGCATTCACCGCCGGAGCAGGCTGATGGGAATCCTTCCCAACCTCCGGCGGAGCATGTGCAAACAGGCGAACGCCTTGTTCACGAAGATAACCCTCCAAGTCACCCATGTCAAACCAATCACCCGCGAGAACTTTCTGTAGGTGCGGTGGGAACTCTAGCAGAGGCTCCGGCAAGACCACCCATCGAACACCGGGCCGATGTAGGTAACTCGCCAATCCAGCCTTCGCGGCAGTCCACGGGTAATGGGTGCCTGCTCCGCCCAGGCTGAAGAAAGGGATGTCCTTCCAGTCTTCGTAGCGTTTCTTTCCGTCTTTCGTGTTGAGCGCAGCGTAGAACAGCCCCGTTAGGGTCTTACGGTCCACGATGGTCAGAGGCAAGCAGAAGTGTCTCATTATGCGCTCCGTGCTGATGTTGTCGTCGCACAAGGCAAGACAGCCGTGATAGATGCACGACATGTGCAATCGACTCATGAATACAGACAGCTCCATCTCCTGTATATCCGGCAGCACCAGCTGCTGGGGAGGAGGCCTCAGAGCCGGTCTGAATGGTGTCGTTTGCTTTTCAGATTGAAAGATGGGTAGAACAGGAGGGTAGGTCTTCCCGAAGTCAATAGGCACAGAAAATTGAAACCCATTCCCCGGAGCAGAGGACTGGGCAGAACTAGTTCTCGAGGATGCCGACGAGGGCACCAGGGCTGTCGAGTCTGCTCCGTCCTTGTTAGCATCTTTCGCCAGATTAAGACACGTCTGCACGGTATGGTGCAAATGCTCGGCCAGGTGAGGGTTCGACTCTAAAACCCCGGACTGAACGAGCTGGTCGCTGAGCGAAAGTATAGCCGAGCTCATCTGCTCGACAACGGACTCTAATTCTCCGATGCGACTCTTGAGGGAAGACATGTTCGCTTCCTTCCGCGAGCGATAGGCGCGCTGCGCAAGTCGAATCTGCCGCCGTCGCCTCTGAGCAATATTTAAGTAGCTGCTTGTCGGGTCAGGCGATGATGATAAGAGAGACATACCTCTTCAGGGTCTTCCGCCAGGGATTCATCGAGTACTTTTCGAGGCCGACCTCGTTTGGCAGTCGCACTTGCCCCGGGTGCAGGCTTTTCAAGCTCGGCGCGTTGGCGCTTGGGATGCTCTGCTACAGCATGATCTGCATGCGTCTGCTGACTGTCGATTGTGCTTGAAGTACTATCGATCTCAAACACATGGTCGGACGTGATGCCACCGAATAACATTGGCTGGGTAGGGTCCTCAGGTAACGAATCAGCAGACTCGGGCACCGGGTACGAACAAGCTGAGAGCAGCGAGGTGATCTGTGGTGACGCCATGGAATCCGACGCAGGGTGAGTAGAACCAAAGAACTGATCATGTATAGTCTCCCAGGGCACTAAAGTGGCGTCGGTTTCCGTTGCACCTTCTTGTGTTGCGGCATAATTCAGATGAGCCATAGCATCATAGGGTGGGGGTATTTATGTCTTAGGTGACCGGATGCTACTCTGTCGAAAGATAGAAAAGCCGCAGATGAGCTGTTATAGAGACGGACACTTAGGTTTGTATGCTATCAGCAGGTTGCCACACGCGAGGATTCATCATCATCGTCAGCAAGAAGGATGCCACCCAACGGGGGGCGATTATCGGCGCGGTCAGATTGTCAACGGTTGGGTAATACAATCTGGACGCCCCAAGGCCTGTGCTAATGCACGCATAACTCTTGGCTATGCAGAAAACGAAGATGTCTTGTTGGGACGTGGATGGGGATTCGTGGGATTCCGCCTCGGCCCCAATTGTTCACTAATCATTTTTTGCCTCAGGCGAGAACACGCTCGTATTTTCTGCCTGCTTTGTCACTTGTGCGCGAAGCCCGAGAAGGCGGTGAGGAAAAGAACAAAAGAACAGTTTCGCCCTTCCGTTTTGGCCAGCTGTTGGCCTCATAATCGCCGGGTTCTGCAGCGAGGTTGCGACCATTCTGCCATTAGGGCGGTCAGCACTCGAGGCTCTAGTGTCTGCCACCGCCTGTTTTGAACAGTTCCCCTGGGCCGGGTTTCGCCCATGGTCTATCTGCTGATCCCCATGGTAAGGAGCAGACAAAATAGCTACTTCTAATGTTCCTTGAATTCTGGTCTTACAACATTTCAGTACGGGGCGGTCCGTTTCGTGAGAAATACAAGACAGTTGACTGTTGAGCCAGCCATGGTAAGAGCTCGGGAATATATTCCTAGGTTCTGTTCATAGCCTTTTAGCTTTTTAGCCTCGAAACGCCTAGTCATCAAAACACGATGGCTATTTATGTGCAGATATCACTTTTAATCTCTCATCGACCTCTTAGGCAGCGAACTCCTTCAAGTAGGCAACAAGCTTCTCGACGCCGGACTCGGGAATCGCGTTGTAGTTGGAGGCGCGGATACCTAGACGTCTCGTTAGACACCATCATGAGCGATGCCAACCAACAACTAAACTTACCTCCGACGCTTCTGTGGCCCTTGAGACCGGTAACGCCACGCTCAACAGCGCCCTTCAAGAAAGACTTCTCCGACTCGTCGACGCTGCCACCCTGCTCGGGTTAGTGCATTTCGCGTGCAGCTTCGTTTCTGCGATAGACGTACCTTGGTCACACGGAAGCAGACATTCATCCGCGAGCGGACGCTCTTGTCCGGGACAACGCGGTAGACATCAGGGTATGCGTCGAGAGTCTGGTAGATAAGGTTCGCCTTCTTCTCGGCAACGGCCTGCTGTCCGTCAACCTTGTTGGGAAACTCGGCAAGGAGCTTCTTCAACACCTGACCGGCGATGTAGACACTAAACGACATTAGCCACGCACAATTGAAAGAGCTTCACGTTGCATACTCGAAAATGGGCAGAGTGTTGTAGAGACTGTTGTTCTTGGCGATGACAGAGTAGTCGAGGATGGTGGGCGCGATGGGCAGACCGAGCTTGCGCAGGATAGCGGGAGAGGCGGGAGGAGAGACCGGGGGGAGGAGGTCCTTCTTGATAATCACCCCAGTAACTCCAGGGGTACCGAGGTTCTTCTGACTTTTGAGGGTTAGTACCATAATCGAGGGGATGGTATGGATCTGTCCTTACGCTCCGAAGAAGATGATGGAGTAGTTCTGTTACGAGTTAGCGCATGCTAAAACGACATTTCAGGTCATCCTTACCTCGACAGGAATCCGTCTGGAGAGGATGTTCGACGAGAAATCACCGATGACAATGGGGTCGTTGTCTGTGCCCTTGGGCTCCAGAACCTTGGGGAAGCTAGGGAATTCGACACCATCGACAGTCTACAAAGCACACACTTTAGCAGGGCTTCAACCACGGTCGGAGCACCGGGTGCCTACCTCATTGTCGCACATGTACACCATAGCAGCCTTGGGGCTCAACGACCAGGTGGATTCGTCCGCGATCTTGCCGAACTTCCCATCGTTGATTGTTCTCGAGTCACTGACGACATTGACATACTCTGGTCCGAGGAGGCGGGCAGCTTCTTGGCTCGCCTTCAATGACCACCTGTGCAGTCAATTAGTCCGAAAGCGCGGGAATTGATCGGTCGGGACACTCACGATCCAGTCACAAGGTAGTCCAACCGCAATTCCGATTCGACCTTCTTGAGGACCTCCTTCAGCGTATCCTCCTCGCTGATCTCGGGGTGTTCCTTCACGATCTTCTGTCTTTGCTTCTCGATCCAAACGGACACGATATTATAGACGACTGCGCCGAATTGGCCGGAGCCACCACCTGCAATGGACGAGTCAGACGACCGAGCCGTAGGCGCAATGACGGAGGAGTGCCGCAAATACCTTGCATGAACAGGATCTCGTAAGAGGAAGGGATGTCGAGGAAGTTGGCGAGGTCAGCCTTAGCAGTGTTCAGGATATTCGAGGCCAGCTCGCTGCGGTGGCTGTGCTCTGCTACACCCCTATAGAATTGAGCTGTCAGAGAAAAAATGGTTGCACGGATTGGCGATAAGATCGCCGGGATCGGAGCGCCTCACAAGCCAGTGTCTTGGTAGTTCAACAAAGCCTCCGCGGCGGTGGTGAGAACGTCGGTCGGGAGGGCGGCGGGGCCGGCACCCATATAGGTGATGTCTTCTCTTCTCATGATGGCAGTAATTCTGTGGATTGGTGGTGTTGTTGGAGATGTCGGGGTGGGATCGTGGGGGAGGATAAGATGAAATTTAATGACGTGCCCCTCGCCCGTGACTCACTAAGGCAGGTACTGGTCAGTCCCGGTCCGATGTTACATAATTGTGGTACGAGAACCCCACCACAGAAGTGAGCTGTTTACATTGTGTCTGTTGGACTAGACTACGTTCTTTGGCCTTCAATTGCAGTTCTGGAGTTTGATACCGAAAGGGTGGGGCTATCAATGGCGTGATTGACAGAGAGATTTACAGTACTGGACCGTAGTACATAAAAAGGTTTGAGATCGAAACCCAGCTCAACAGGAGTCAAGAAGGCTTTCATGCTAGCTTGGGTTGTTTAAAGAACTTCAATTACTGGACATCAATTAAGTTTCAAATTATGATCTACCGCACGTGGCAAGAAACGATATCAAAGATCATCATGATGATGCGGGAGTGGTAAAAAGCATGACGCAAAAAGCAACCTCCCCGACTGGGAGTCGAACCCAGGTCTCCCGCGCTTGTTCCTGTTGAGGATTGACAAGCGGAAATCATGACCGTTAGACCATCGAGGAATTGGTGAAATTTGTATGTAATCTTTGTTCTCACGTCAGGAAAAACAAGCACAGAACCCAAAAAAGAAGAACCCATATCTCCTTGCAACATGTGTTTTGCGCGTGCTAGAGATTTAAGGATGCGCTCACATCGGGACTTTAGACCAGCTCAAGACTTTATAGTGACTCACCAAACTGAAAAGGGACGCACTTATGCCCATTGGACTTACTGTTGCACGTGGCGGATTACAGCTTGAAATTACAGTATAACCGCTTCGAATCCCCTTTCAGACATGTGAGTCTAGTCCACGCTGATGGCCAACATCAATATAACACTTCGTACGAAGCATATCTGCTTCGACGACCTAGACGTCCGAATTACGGTACATACAGTACACCAGCGACCAGCAAGGTAAAACACCAGAGCCCACGACCGCGGACAGGGCCAAGTGGATCCCCGATCTCCAGCGGCCCGGGGCCACCGGATCCAAACCATTCATCATCGTCCGCATCCACTACACACATATATCAACCTCAAACCAGCCCCAGTACACCCAAAGCAGCCACCCACAACCGTCCCCAACCAACCCACAAAATGACAGTCATAGCAGTAGCAGGCGGCACCGGCGGCGTAGGCAGAACCCTCGTTGAGACCCTCCTCCAAGAAACCACCCACAAGATCATCATCCTCACCCGCAGCGTGCGTAACTTATCCCCTGCTTCAAACTACATCACCAAGTCCGCAAAACTCACCACACGCAGACCCCCCAAGACCCACCCACCTCACGAGCCCACCACCTGCAAATCGACTACGACGACATCCCCGCCCTTACGGACATCCTCACCACCCAGGGAATCACAACCATCATCTCGGCCATCGGCATCACCACCGACGCAACCAGCCAAGCGCAACTGAACCTCATCGACGCCGCCGAGCGATCCCCCACCGTCACCCGTTTCCTCCCAAGCGAGTACTCTTTCATCCAGACGGCCGAGTAATCCCCTGCCCTATCTCTCCCCTTCCAACCCAATGCTGACAAATATAAAAAGCCTCCTCGGAATCGACCCCAGCATAAAACACTGGCTCGCAGCGGCCAACAAGCTGCACCACGACGCCCCATCCCTAAAGTGGACACGGGTCATCCCCGGCTTCTTCATGGATTACTGGGGGATGCCGCACGTACGCACGCACCTGCAGCCGGGGGTGTTTGGGATTGACGTCCTGAACTGTCGGGCGGCGATCCCCGGCGACGGGAACGACCGGATGTGCATGACGTATACGTACGACATGGCGCGGTTTGTGGTACGGTTGCTGGAGGAGGTGGATGCGGCTGAGTGGCCGGAGTTTAGTGTTGTGGTGGGGGATGTGGTTACTTATAATGAGTTGGTGGGGTTGGTGGAGGATATTAGAGGTTCGTGATCCTGAATATTCTTGCTTAGAGTTCAAGAGAGGGGGAGAGGGGGGGGGGATTGAGGTGGGAGGTTGAAGATGAAGCTCAAGAAGAAGAAAAGCAAAAGAAAGCAAAGAAAGGGCACCGTTGGAAAGCATGCGAACTCGACATGTATCGATTCTAACCAGACTTTCCAAATCCAGGTCGAAAAATCTCCGTTGTATATGACAGCCCCGAGAAGATCAACCAAGGCCAGGTCACCGTCCCTGCCATCCCAGAGGGCTACACCGAGGAGGAAGCCCACGAGGTGACCGTGCTGGTCAGTCGGCTCACCATCGCGGGGGTGTTCGATCTGCCCGTGGAAGGGCGGCTGAATGCCCGATTCCCCGGGATCAAGCCGGTCAAGATGAAGGAGTTTCTGGTCGATGCGTGGAAGGGAAAGAACTGAACCCTACTACCGGGCTGTATCCTACATCCTACTGTGTAGTCTTGCATATCTTACGGTTGGATAGTCTAGCCAAATGGAACAAATTTAAGATTTTCTTGCTTTATGCTGGTCTCTAGGTATATCCTAGTAATGCAATCTGGGCCGGAACGCTCCGTGGACTTTTCTTCCGAACCCCGAGGTAGAACAGAATTCAATATAAAGTATTTCAAACACACCAAAACACGTAAGGCACCGAAGGAGCCCTCGATCAATTCCCGATCGAATCGAACTGATCTCTACCACACTCGCAAATTGAGATCCCATCCTTACACTCTACCTAGACACTCGCCCACCAAGGACCGAGCCAGCCATCCATAGCCTCGTTGTAGTAAATCTCATCAACACCATCGTCGTCCTCCTCGTCTTCCTCGTCTTCCTCGTCCTCATCCTCCCCATCCTCATCCTCCTCATCGTACGCACATTCAACGAACAAGTCTTCGAGATGAACTGACACCGGCAATGAACGAAATGCACGTTTGGCAGGGCCAGGGAAAGGTCATCTCGTACAGGTAACAGTAGTTCCTTGGGTACCTGCCGCCGTCGCAGCAATGGCAGCAGAGGTAAGAGGGTCAGTGGCCTCCAACAGCTTGGCCAGGTCAGCCTCGGTGATCCCGTCACCGGGCTCGCGGGTGTGCAGGGGGATGTTTTCGATCTGTCCGGACATTTTGATCTGGGCTCAGATGGGGTTTGGGTCGCCACAGGGTGAGAGGGGTCAAGGACAGGGCAGGTGGCATGAAAAAAATTGAAGGCACTGGAAGTTGCAGGGAGATCGGCTACTAGCCAGAGGGGAGAAACGTTTCTGCTCTCGCGGGATTGTACATGTATAGACGTCTTGTCCACTGTCGAGATGTCCGTCTAAGAACATAAGTCCTTGACATCAAGATGAAATACTAAAACGCAATGAAGCAGGTTCATTTGGACGGTGGGAGGTCTAGACCATCAGCTCAATCAACACTCTCGCCTCAGGTAAGAGAAACGTGTGGCACTGGTTGGAAGACCGACAAGCCGTTTTTCTCACAAATTGATCGATGGCGTATAATAGCCGGGGATGTTATATCGACAGTCACATTGGACAATTCGTCCGCCACCACAAGTATTCAAAGCTCAGCCACCAGCCACAAGACCAAAGTTGCAACCCACAGTATCACATGCCCATCAACAGATGAAACGAGAAACAAGAATTCGCGTAACGTGGCGCTGGTTTTCCTGATCTCTGGTGTGGTGAGACTTCCACAAGTTTCCAATCTGGAGACCACGGGACCCCAAGGTAAATGGAACGGTGTGTTGGGTCCTAAGGGCTTCGTATCCTCCATGATGAATGCTGCCTCTAAGTTGCAGAAAGGCTCGGGCCGCCTGTGGACTCCGTGGTCAGTCAAATATCCACTTCTCTTAGAGTCGCAGCACACCCACCCCAGTGGAAGGCTATCATGGTGCTATCTGGAGTTGATAGTAGATAACCGATGGTATCCATCAAAGTAAAGGAGTCGTGAGCCTCAGCAGACTTGCGGCCCAGGCGCCTTCTCGCCGAGCGTTTGCGACCCTGTCCCTGGTTTGGCTCCTGGTCGGGTTGGCCCAGAGCAGGACTGAGTTCTTCTTTCGGTTCGGAAGCGTGCATGATTTCGACGGACGGTCGACCGTTGGATGCGAAGGCTTCTTTCTCAATTGGCGACAAACTTGTATTTGGCACGAGCAATGTGTACGCACAGTTAGGAAGGGGTCAGGGGTCAGATCTTGCCATTCAGGATGGTGTTCAATCTGCGACCCCCCTCTCTAAGCTTCTCTGAGTTGGTGACTGTGCGGAAATTTGCAGTCATCGTGGGCGTATGGCATCTTTAAGTGTTCTTTTGGGCTGCTGGCTGCTCAAGGGACGATGCAGGCAAGGCCGAAACTCGGCAGAAGACACGCGAGCAGCCTGAGCCGCTTTTACCGGAACGGTGCTGCGGCTAGTCTGCGCGCTGCAGACGAGCTGACAAGTCATCCACCATGGAGACAACTCGACCGAAAAAAAAAACTCAATCAGGCATGAGGGAGAGGGGGCTGAAGGAGGGGGAGAATGTCTTTAGCTGCAAGAGGCTGCCGCTATCCATGTTTGCTATTGGCTTTTAAGCTTTTGACAGAAGCTCCTTGCTTCCTGCGTCCACGGAATCGCATCGGAAAATTCGAACCCGGCCTGCATTTCTGCCTGTCGAACGTAGAGATCCCTCGGGTGTACTTCCATCACAAAATACTTGTAAATCTCCGAGTTGAAGAGTGGGAAGGTCTGAAGGATCAAGCATGCGAAAACCAGGATCGAGTGCCCTGCTTCGATGGAAAGATCTCCCGGTCGCAGTGGAACGAAATCGATGCTCGGGTGTTGCCGAGATTGATTACTTTAGTTGTAATCGATTGTTGATCGTGCGACTGGATGAGTCAACTGTGTTTCTGGGTCAAGGGTCAGATGATTCTGGTCGATCGCTTGGCAACGTGAGGTATCATACAGGTATACAGGTACGAGCGGGGTGGATGCGAGTGGTGTTGCAGATCGCTGTCAGACGTGGCCCACCTGTTAGTGGTTTAGTGGTTGCCTCGACAGTTTTGGCGGATGTGGTATCAATGAATGAATTGTCCATGAGAAGAAAGAAGAGAGGGACAAGTGCAGGAGGGGTAAAACACACCGATGCCTGAACACGCTGCTATTGCCAGTGCCCCTTTGTCCTGCCCTAACCTCCAAACACACCGACTGATATGCAGGGATGTACGGAGTACAGTGCAGAGTACGCACAATTTCTGGACAATACTAAGGGGATACTCAGTCTACAGTCAACCCCGGACGGATATCTCGGTCACCAATCGAGTCATCCATAATTACAAGCACTGCAAGTGGTGTGGTTGAGGTGCCATTCATCAAACATCAAACCAAGGCATTGCCCGGGAGGAACAGGATCAGGAAAATAGTAATTGGTTCCGCTCGTGTCACTTCGGTCACTTTGGCGGGTTCCCAACAGACAAAGACACCGGTTTATTTGCTCGTCCCCCGCCCGCTCGAGCCTGACGTCAGGTCGATCCCAAGGCTTACACTCCAATCATCGTCTCAAACCCATGGAATGGAGGGGGATTGAAAGAGCCCGTGCTCGTAAGTTGGAGTAAATCGGCCAGGGCGGAGCGGAGGGAATGTCCACCTCTCCAGCAATGACAACAACCCCTTGATTCCTTACTACTAGGTATCTGTAGTCTATAAGAATTCCCCGTCTCCCATGCGATGGTCTGACAGTTGTCTGACACTTGTCACTCTCGTGGTCCTGCCAACAGAGCCATTAATTACCCGACTTTCGCCAGCGAAACCTACCTTCCTACTTAACAAGAATCGAATGATCACAGAAACCCCGAGCCAGCAGCCATCATGACCGACACCGCCATCACGCGTCTCCAGAACCACCTGAAGTGTGATCTCGCACGCAAGAATCGCATCGGACGAGCATGCGTTCTCAAGCGCTTCTCCCAGTGGCTGTGGTCGGTATGGATGATCGACAGTCCGCAGACTTCTGCGCATCGCGTCGAGTGCACCGATCGCACGAAATCCACCACCAACTACATATGCTCGACCACAAAAGCCCCCGTCTATACACTACCTGCACCTGAACAGCCAGCCCACGCTCCCCCTCAGCAAGACCAACCGTGCCAGCCCTGCAAAGCCTGCAAGGCCTGGGGCGTGCCGTGCGACCAAGTGCGCCCGCGCTGTTCGCATTGTCTAGATCAACAGATCCTTTGTTTCTATGTAGCCCCGACCCGGAAATCAGCCAGAAAGTCTACCAGATCGACGACACAAAGCCAAGTCGTGGATCCCACCCCGCGTTTGCGAGAATCTTAATCAGTGACCGATGACTGCATGAAGCAGCCTAAGAAAGACGTTGATAACCCCGCACACCACAAGATAACTTGGGACCCGCGGGGAAATACCCAAAATTGACTTGCAACTTGTCATTTCCCGAGTTCGACCTCAACTCAGCGGGATTCGAGTAGATTGATACGCCGTTTACACGATTTCATTTCCATTGATGTATGGTTGCTTCACAAGAAGCATACATTCAACGAAAGAAGAAGTTCCTCAAAAAGCTGGAATGTCGAAGTCTAGCCATGTTGCCACGCACGAAGTCACTTTCGACATCGGAGCACTGTGAACCGATCCCCCTCCCAATGGTTCAACATGACTATCGAGCAAATTACGTGCAGTATGTCGATGGCTCTCAGGGAGGGCAGTCTGTGTCTTCTCTGCATTCCCAGGTGTTGCTTGCAAACGGGTCTATTGAACAGAGGTATGGAAATCACCCCATCCGGCCTCTATTATCCTCACCAATTTATAACTGACATTCTGGCCTAGATGGAAGCCGAATATGCTAAGATTGCGGATATAATCCGCCAGAAAGCCCGCTCTCATCACAAGCAAAGGCTCCTCGTAGCTATCGCTGGCATCCCGGGCTCGGGAAAAACAACCACTGCAGCGGCAGTCGCTCAGATTCTGCGATCTACTTCTCCCGCTCTGGCCACGGCGCTTCTCTCCATGGACGGCTTCCATCTCTCGCGGGCTGTGCTAGACACGCTCCCCAACCGAGAAGAGGCCTATCTTCGTCGCGGTGCGCCCTGGACGTTCGATGCACCCCGTTTCGTTGCCGTTATCCAACAGCTGCGCCAGTGGGCAGATATAGACACGCCAGCCAACCTTGGTGTCGAATCGCAAACCATCTATGCACCTTCATTTGACCACGAGGCAAAAGACCCCGTGGAGAACGGCGTTGTCATCACTCCGGACACGTCCGTCGTCATCGTCGAAGGCAACTATTGCCTGCTGAACGAACAAATATGGCGCGATGTCGCGCAGCTAGTTGATTACCGGATCTTTGTCGACACAGACCTACAAGAGGCCCGCCGTCGTGTCGCCAAGCGGCACGTTCAGGCCGGGATCGAGGCCACTCTCGAGGCTGGGCTCCGTCGGGTGGACAGCAACGACTGCCTCAATGCTCTGATCATTCAGGACAAGCTGATTACTCCCGACTTGGTGGTGCATAGTATAATAGAAAATGCATAGCATTTCGCAAGTAAATCACATTTCTCACTGAAGGCTATAAAATACACGCACCCCCGCATCAAGAAACAGTTATATCCTAGACCGTAACCCGACATTACTCCTTGATCTTCTGCTTGTGAAAAACATCTACCAAATTAGCCTCCTCCCATAGCATATCCCAGGGGTATACCCGCAACCAACTCACCAGGAATCTCTGGCATCCAACTCGCTCGACTCTCACAGAAGAACTCCCCCTTCGGCGGCAGGACCTCGGGGTCATCCAACGTCCCCACGCAGATATAACGGAAATCATTCTTCACCGCATCCTAGCCATTCCCAAGCGAAGTTAGCATACCGTAAATCAATCAGACCCAAGCAAATAGTGGACGCGAAGAATGTACCCCATATTCGAGAATAAAGCTTCCACAATCCCCGCAGAACTCCCGATGGATAGTCGATCCCGAGCCATTGTCCCCGACGAATTCCTTTGGTTGGCCGGATTTGAGCGTGAGCGCGTCCTTGGGGACCTTGGCTGTTAGACCGTAGTTGGTGCCGAATGCTTTCTGTGGACGAGCACCATGGCCCCATCGCCGTCGGTGTTAGCCCTTGGGTTTTTTGGGAGAGGGTTTAAGGACCTTGGGGGATAAAGTTGGAGGTATAAGGAAAGTAGAGGAGCTTGAACCTTGCAGCTGCTGCAATGGCAGAGAGATGTGCGGGCGTCGTCCGGGGAGGAGAGCGACAGGTCATACGTGATGTTGCGGCAGTAGCAGGAGCCGGGATAAGTGGGCATTCTGGCGGCTGAGCTGTGGAATCGCGAGGTCTGAATAGAAGGGAAGTGTAGTGGTTGTCGTTGCCAGTGCTTTGTGGTGTTTGAAGAATACGGGGTAGAGGGAAAGTGGTTGTGGATGTTCTTGATCACGAACTTGTTGTATACAGCGCGAGGCCGGGCTGCTTGCCGAATGCTGACGTCATGTGCTGCTGCAGCCGCTGTTGTTGTCCATCGCCGCCAGCCATTCTCCCTCCCACCACCTCTCCCTCCTGCTCTTGTCACTCCCCGTATCAGCCCCGTCGAACTGGAACCTGTCGCTTTGTACATACTGCTCAATGGCGTGGTCCTAGCTTTCTGTCATACTCGGGAAGTTGCGTTTTGTCGTCTTTCTTTATGCGCAGTCGCTCGTTTGTTCTCGGCCCCCCTCCCGTGGCGTGATGTGACTATGACACCAAATGCCCGCAATCATCCGACTTTTCGCGTGGGGATTTATACCTCTGTTTTTTGCCTCTTGGCTCTCTGGCTCTACTCCACTTGATTCCGTCAACCCAACAGAGTGAACTTTGGCAGCAACTCGACGGGGGTGGTTTCCCGCGCCCGCACTCTCTCTTATCTACAGAGTCAGACCCAAACCCGCTTCCATGAGCGTACACCCAACAATCCTATACTACGCTCTGTTATAATCTCATCCACGTTATCCTCAGCACAATGGCAACATCCCTGCCACCGTCTCATGAACCTCTCGACGACCAATCTCAACCTCAACCCCTCGAAAAGCGCGCCGTCGTCTCATCCTTCATCTTCAATTTTAAGGATGGGAAACCGCTCGTAGCGCTGTTCAAACGCAGCGACAAAGTGAGAACATATTGGTTTGTCTCCTGATCGCCTTGGGTAGAAGTGCACATCTAAGAGTCAAATCAGTGGCCACCTTGCCCCAATATCCGGCAGCATATCGTCAGACGACCGCGACCCGCTCGCAGCCGCCTGGCGCGAACTCTCCGAGGAAACAGGGCTCAATACCTCGAATCTCACGCATTGGCGCACGGGGAAACCGTTCACATTCAGCGATCCGTCCGCCGGGCGCGAGTGGACTGTGCATCCATTTGCGTTCCTTTACAATGCAAACACGCCAAAAGAATCGACGGCTAAAGAAGAACAGCCGTCCTTCAAGATTGACTGGGAGCATACAGGCTGGGAATGGCACCCGCCATCCGCGATCCTCAATGAAGAGCTCTCGCCCACCGTGCCCCGACTTAAGGACAGTTTCCGCCGCGTATGGTTCGAAGGCGATCTCCGCAGTGAGCGCGCCGTCAAGATCCTCGCCACGGGGCTGGAGCGTCTTCGCAATGACCACGAAAGCGGCTCGCAGGAGCTCACGACCATCGCGCTAATGATCTTCCGCGACTTCCTCGTCCAGACCCAGAACGGGATGGACGCCCAATGGTGGGCCAACGTGCGCATGGCGGCGTGGCACATGGTCAAGAACGGACGGGAGAGCATGGGCGCCGCGACGATGAACGCGCTCGTCGGCGTGCTCGCCGAACTCGACGATATCCTCCACCACGACGAAAACCACAACCACAGCCCTGGCCGTAACAACAATCACTCCGACGAGCAAAAGTGGGAGCGCATGCTCGCGGTGCTGGACCACCACCTAGCCAGTCGCAAGAGCCGCGCGACGCAGGTCAAAGACGCCTTCACCCACTACATCCGGTACCACTTCCTGCACCACGGTGAGCCGCGGGACAAGCTCACGATCCTGACGGTGTCGGCGAGCTCGACGATCCGCGACAGCATCCTGGACGCGTACGCCTCACTGGACATCCACCTGTTGGAGCTGCGGGTGCTGGAATCCCGGCCCCTCTTTGAGGGCGCCAGCATCGCCTCGTCGCTGATCTCCAACTTCAAGTCGCGGTTCGCGGACACCCCCCACAAGAACCTGCGGGTCAAGGTGTACACGGACGCGTCGGCCGCCATCGCCGCCGCCGGGGTGGATCTGCTGCTGCTCGGGGTGGACCGCCTCTCCGCCACGCGGGGGGTCAGCAACAAGACCGGCTCGCTGCCCGCCGCCCTGTGTACGCGGCACGTCAGCCCGGACGCCCAGATCGTCGTCCTCAGCGACCTCGAGAAGATCAACGGCGCCCCCAGCGTCATCGACGACGACAAGCACGAGGACAACTCCCCGCTCGAGGTCATGACCACCTGGCGCAGCGACGGCGTCAAGGGCGTTAGCGTGTTGGAAGAGGGCATGAAAGCTGCGGCTGGCCCCGGCGGCTCCAAACAATACGATACGAGCAACTCCGCTGCCACCGTCGACGTGGAAAACATCTACTTCGAATGGGTGCCCCTGCACATGGTCGATGCCTTCGTCAGCGAAGAGGGCGTCATGGACGAGGGTCGCATCCGCGAGAAGTCCGAACAGCTCGGGAACAAGGTCGACAAGTTCTTCCTTGACTTATAGGGCGAGAGCTCGGCTCAAGAAATAGCGATGTCGACCCTATTTCGCATTGGGAGACCATGGTCTTCAGTTCTTCTATTCTGCCCACTTTCCCACCCTTTTCTTTCCTCCTGATGCGAAATCATGCAACATGACTACACCATACCATTCGGGGCAATTCTGGCATTTCACCTTAGCGCATAGTAAGATTACATAGTGCAGTAGTGATTCTGGTATCGATTTTAATGAAAGACAGAAGTTCCACGCTACAAGTCCACCCCCGCTCGATTTCATTTCCACCCCCATGCACACCTTCATTTACAAGCTACAACATTGCCTCCCCCCCCAACAGCGGCCGAAATATCCCGCTGGGATCTGATAGGTCCAAACCCAACATTATAGCGGGACAATGCTGGAGCAAGAGACAAAGAAACCGGAGGCACTATCTACAGTAACCCAAAAATGATTGGCCCCCTCGCCCCTGTCAATAGCCCTACCCTTGCACGGACTAATGGCACTATATGTATCTCACCAGGATAGAAGTTATATTCCTCCACCCTGGTCGGAGACCACTATACGATCTAACTTATAACTGACTAACGCGGTTAGTCCCACTAGAGGCACCAGCGCCAGCACCGGTCTTCTCTAACCCCTCTTGCAGCGCCAGCACCAGCCCGTCGGCCACATGCTCCGGCACACTCAAAAACGCCGAGTGCGATGCGTCCACGTGATAGCGGCCGGGGTTGCCCAGGGTGTGGGCGAAGGCCTCTTGCGCGGCCAGGGGCAGCGCCTGGTCTTGGTCGCAGAAGAGGTAGAAGGCGGGGATCTCGCGCCAGGGTTCGTGGACGGCCGGCTCGAGGAAGGAGGGCCTGGGATGGCGGTGCAGGTTGGCGATGGCGTGGCGCTGGGCGTCGGGGGTCAGATCGTGGTAGAAGATCCTCTCGGGCTGGGTGGTGTAGACGTATCCGTCGTCGGGGGTCTGCATTGTGGAGATATCAGTAGGGGGGCGGGTTTTCTGCGGTTGCTACCTATTCCATGGTGGGTGAGGGGAAGGTGGGGGGGGGTCTCGCTCACCGTGAACGACATCCAGGGCAACCAGTTCCCTCCCAGCATGTCGAGGAGCGACTTGCCCTTGGGCGTGACGAAGGCCGCCATCCACACTACCTGGATCACCCCGCCGTGCTGGCCTGCGCGGGCCCGCGACGTATACCCGAGCCCCTCGACTGCGCCGGCGGCGACAATCCCGCCGTATGAGTGCGCGACCACCACGATTGAGCGCCCTTGGTCGGCCAGCGCTTGGAGGGCACGCTTTGTGTGAGCGATGTCGGCGTGGAGGCCAACGGAGGGATCGGCTGCGCCGACCGACTGGTTGGCGACGGCGTCAGTGTCGTGCCCTCGCTTCTGTAAGAGGTCACGGATGTTGTCGAAGGTATCCGGGTCGTGCCATGCACCAGGCACGAAGACGAAGATAGGTTTTGCGTTGGCAGTCATTATGTTTCGTGGATTCAAGTTGTTCCCCGTTTTTTCTCTCTGGCGTGCGAATTGACCCGGTGGTGTCTCTTGCGCTCGCGGAAGATGACTCTGTACTTATAGAGTAGTCCTTATCATGGAAATGCCGTGGTCCGAATCCGAAAGGGGGGGATGCTCATTTAAATTGTCTAATGATAGTCCGCGTAGATCCCCAGACGGTGGATTTAGGGCCGCTGTCAGCCCCACAAACGGCCTGTCACCGAGAGATAGTGTGCGGTCGGCCGTCGCACCACCCCAACCTAGCACAGTAGTGTGTTTAGTGACCCGGGCTAACGGTCTAGCCTACAATGATTCATGGTCTAGTGGAGGACTCATCTCCAGCGCAAGGTCTTCCGCGGGCCCGTCATGACACCACACCTGGGTTGTGGTGCGCAAAAGGTACTGTACCGCACTAGCAGGGGCGTTAGCAGGGACGTTGAAAGAAAGTCCCCTGTCAGGGATACGGTCGGCCAAAAGCAAGATTTTGTGGTTATGGAATGCTCTTCATCATCTTCGGATCTCGTTTCCTTCGGTCCATATTCAATCATGTTGTGACCGAACTCGGTTGACTGTCGTTGACATGGCTTCGGGGACAGCTATCCACGGGAGCCATCAAGGCCCAAATCGAGTATTAAGCATTGCTATGACCGCCTTGGGATTGTTTTTCGTGCTTTTGCGACTTCTGGCACGGAGAAAGAAAGGCCTGTCAGTTGGGTTGGACGACTATACCATGCTATTGTCGGTGGTAAGTTTAGCCCGGTAGGATCAAAGCTGTTCAGTCTGATTCTGATTTGGCTCTCCGAACCTAGTTGTTTCTGTTCGCAACCTGCGGACTCAATTTGACCAGTGAGTCTTCCCACCTCTCAAGGGCCTTGTTGCCTCGGCCTTGACTGATGCATGTCAGTGATTCATTACGGCATGGGCCGCCATGCAGACGAGCTACCGAGCCCGAACGTCACGAAAATCGCCAAGGTTCGATCCCAGATCCACGCTGAAACCCATGCCCAGCCGAGCCGGAGCTAATACAAACCCCCCCAAGCTGCTAATGGCGTTCGAATGCGTCTACTGCACAACCGTAGGAATCATCAAAGTGTCCATCCTCCTCATGAACGCGCGTATCTTCCCCACGCGAAACTTCCGACTGGCCGCCATCATCCTCGGCGGGATCGCGGTCGGCTGGGTTCTGGCCATCATCTGCGTGAGCGTGTTCCAGTGCGATCCGATCGCCAAGGCCTGGAATCCGAATCTCCCGGGAAGCTGCATCAACCTCAAGGGATCCTTCATCGGCAACGCGGTGCCGAACATTGTGACCGATGTGGCCATCCTCTCGCTGCCGGTGCATGTGGTCTGGGGCTTGCACGCCTCCCTCACGCATCGATTGTCGGTGATCGCTGTTTTCCTGCTAGGTAGTTTGTACGTTTCTTCCCACTCTAATTCCTAGACCGCACCTCTCCAATCTGCCATTGTCCCCGGGGAGATCATAGGTCAGCGAGGGTAGCTTAAAATACTGACACCTACATCTCGCGCGCACAAACAGCGTCGTCTTCACCAGCGCCTACCGCTTCTCCACGCTCTTCCAGTTCGAGCCGCGGATACCACCTGGACGCTCGCCAAGGCATGCACCTGGTGCCTGATCGAGTGCGCGAGCGGGATCATCTCCGCCTGTCTCCCGACCCTGCGGCCGCTGTTCGTGGCGCTCTCGTCCAAGTTCGCAAGCAGCATCGGTGTCTCGGGCGGGCGCACCACGGGCATCGAGGGCAAGGGCTCCGAGCTGCAGAGCTTTGAAGGCGCCAACCGGATCCTGCGGCCGCCGGGCGAGCACCTATCCAAGCAGCTCGTGTCGTTGGATGTCAGCCAGCGAGATGATGCGTCCGGGGATGAAGTGCCGTTGAATATGATCCGAGTACAGCGTGAGATCACTTGGCAAGAGACGAGAAAGATGAGCTCGCGAGGGTAGAGATGATGATGATGATGATGATGGTGTTGACTCTTGGGTGGACACAATGGAAAGTGGGTTCAGATGATCAGACAGGTAAAGCCATTATTGACCGGGTGGGTTGGGCTCAAAAGACATACGGCCCCGCCGAACCGGCAGATCGAGTTGACTCTTCAAGTATGATCAACAAGAAGTCTCGATGCATCAGTAGATATGTGTAATGTAGATAAAGCATGTCCGTTCCAGTAGGCCCGAGCCGCGGGTGAGCCCATGGATTGCGGCATTTCTGCCATTTCTTCCCGCTTCGCAGCTGTCCATCTTATCCAGCTTCTGGCAAATCCAGAGAGGACTGTCTTTTAGGGCATAGTTCATGGAATGCTTTCAGAGCATGTTATAACCATTGTGACATGTATCAATTCAGAGAGTCTCAGAAGCTGGATTGATATCAACTTATATCCCAGCGAAACAAGAAGTAACACAAGCCAGAGCAGAGGCTTTGTGGTTGAATATATACTGGATACTATAAGCCCGCAAAGGCCGAACTACAGAACAACACATTATACACAAACAAACAGTGAATTCTCCGACCGTTGAACAGCAAGAAGGCTGATATTGTCCATTACCCTATTCACATAAGAAAGCATACTCCAAGACTCCGCTGCCAAGGCCTGGTTCATGAAGGCCAACATCCCACATTGTAAAAGCACAACAGACAAACAGAAAGGAACTCAAAAGGTATCATTCAATCCACAAAAATTGCCCGCAGTCAGCACTCGCGAATCCGCGCCTGCCGCTTCGCTGTCCCGATGTGCGTATTATGTACTTTCGTAGCGAATTTGAGACTGGTCAAGGTCTCGGACAGATGGGCTTGCAGCGGGCTGACCATGACAAACATCAGGGTCTTCGAGTTGCCGCCGAGGGAAAATTGGAGGAGGTAGGTTAGCTGTTATGTGGTTAGCTGACTGACACCCAAATCATCATGTGCGCAGCGTACCTTGCTGTTGCGGTAGGGAATATGTCCACCCTCCTTGCCCTGTCCCAGAGCAGCGATCACATCGCCCAAGCAGCTCAAACTGCGGTTGATGCTCTGTGTCTCGCGCAACCGCTCGCCAGTAGCACCACTGTGGCTGAGGCGCTCACTTCCAGCGAGATCGACGAGGTTAAGGGTGCCCTCGCTGCGCTCACCCGTAATATCGTTCTCACCGATGAGCTTGAGAATAAAGACCGAGTGAGACCGAGAAGACCTCTCGTTGGCTTTGGTTGCTGCAACGGAGCGGTTGGAGGCGGCCCTCTTGAGGATGGTCTCAACCATCTCAGGCGACTCTAGGCGGACAGTGGTAGCATCGGTTATGATGGTCTTGCCCCTCTGCATATCATGGCGGATTTCGAGCTTCTTTCTATCCAGGTCGTCGGGGTTGCCCAGCAAGTCGTTGAGGTTCTCGTTGTACACCTCCACGAAATTACCTTCCATCGTGTACCTCCAGCCTTTCTCCTCGAGGCCAGTGGCCGTCTCATAAATCTGGTGCACGGCCCGAGGAATCATACCGTCAAGAGATGACATGGTATAGGTTTTACCACTGCCGGTCTGGCCGTAGCAGAAGATGCACACATTGTATCCATCTAGAGCACTCTGCACCAGCTGGCTGATTTCATCGAAGACCTCCGCGTTCTGGGTAGACGGCCCAAATACACGATCGAATGAGAAATTGCTGTTCTTCCTCGAGATTGCTCCAAGGCTGCTCTTCTCCTCCGGGCCCAGCACTGCTATCTCTTTGCAATCCTCGGCGTCATCCGGGAACTGAATCTGAGCGACTTGATTCACAGGATCCGAGGGCAGCGAGGGGCGGACTCGGCAGAAGACTCGAATATTGCCTTTGAGCTCTTGTACCTGGTTGTGAAGCTTCCTTCTTAACGTCTCTTCCTTGCGGAGCTTTTCCTTTGTGGCATTCGTTTCAGCCAGCGCGTCCATCATTTGTTGGTTTAGACGCTCAAAAGCCTGGGACTGCTCTTCGCGACCGGACTCCAGGAACTCGATGCGGGCTTTCAACGCACGCACGGATGACTCCATAGTTACAGTGTTGGTGCTGGCTGCATCCAGATTGTGCCTCAGGTCTCGGTTGGCCTTGCGTTCACGCTCCAAATCGGCTTTCAGTGCGTGTATGTCGTGTTGCAAGGTGGCGATTTCTCGTTCCTTCTTGTCAAGTTCGGCATGCGTGCGCTGTGTGTCAAGTGCAGATTGCGAAGTGATCTGACTGAGTTCGCGCATCCGCGCAGCTCGTTCTTCTTCCATCTCGTTCTCAAAGCGCCGTTTGAGTTCCTGAATCTCCTCTTGGTACCGCGAGTGCATTGTCTCCATCTCTCTTCTGCCCTCTAACCGTACTGTCTCCAATTCCATACGTCGGCGGGCGTTGATGTCGTCGACGATCAATTCATGGTCTCTATGTGCGTCTTTGAGTGCTTTCTCCGCACCAGCAAGTCGATTTTCCATCGAACCCATTTCGATACGCAGGGTAACATTTGTTTCTGTAAGTTCTTTCGACGATGCCTCTAGTTCACTCACTATAAATGGGTTCTAATTAGCACAGAAAGCCACGATCAGCGCGCACTGTTCCCTTACCTCTAGACTTGTATAAATCCACTGCATCTTTCAGCGCTGTGCTCGACTGTCCCTGTTGACTGACACGTTCTTCCATGCTTCGCACAAGGTCATACATTCGCTTTTCTCGGAGATCCAGGTCCCAATCGCCACCTATAGAATAGTTAAAAGACTTGATCCTTGAATCTTTGGTAAGAAACTGTGGTAAACGAGGAGGCTTTCGGGAAGAGCGAGTAATGGACAGAAGTGGGGTAGATGGAGGTGGTCTGACGGGAGTAGTGAAGGGAGATCTAGAAGACAGGGCATGATAACGCAATTGACTCATAGAAGCATGATGCGCAAGAGGGAGTTTAGAAGCCGAGGGATCAATGGGGCCAGGAACCAAAGCCGGTCTGTCCAAAGGCGAGCATGGTGAGTCCACACGCTGAGTCCAAGACCAGGTCCGGGAAGTCTCATTGCTTGGGAGATTCCTTGTGGCCTGGGGTACGGTAGCAGGGGATGAAAAGCAGTCAAACTCGCGCCTACCCTTACGTTTTCCAAGTATGGTACCCTCCGAGTCCTCTTGTTCACGAGAGCCCATTGCCGTGGCTGCGCGGGGGATGGCATTGGCCATTGGTCTCCGGGAATTGGTAACCGTGTGTGATCGTGACATACTCGTGTGCGGTCGTGCGGTGGGTCCGGCGGAAGATGAGACGGTCGATTTTGTTCTTGAGACAGTAGATGCGGAGCGGCCAAGGGTATTGGAGCTGTAAGTGTTCGCACGGCCGTGCGTCTTTACTGTGCTGCTGGCGATACGGGATGTTGAAGGCGCTGCAGCGGACTGGGTTGTGCTTCGTGGACGGCCCGGCTCTGATCTTGTTAGTGTCGAAACTCCTCCACCCCCGAACAAACCTCCAGGGACGTACGCGCCAGGCCCGAAGTCTTACTTGTCACTGCGCCAGCGATAGTACCGGGTTGCACGAGCCCCGAGCGGGCGTTTGTTGAAGCCGGATTCATTTCTTTCAGGCCGACTGTTGGGATTCGAGTTCGTGACGACGTCTTCGACTGGATCTATTATCGCGTCAGCCTGACTGTGTGGCCGACTGAATGCCACTTGCTATTACCATGTGATCGTTCTCCATACTGAGGGCAGGGAGCCACGAGCCCCTAACTGGTCAAGAGGATTCTTAGGACGAAGTTGACAGCGGACGAGGACAAAATCTGGCGCAAAGCAAGGTCGCACTCGAGACGCGTGGGATAAGCAAAGCAAGAAGAGCAATTTGCAATGGGTGGAGACAAGACTGAGACTGCAACATGCCAGGAGGGGCGGCGGGTGTGTGTAATTAAGGTGCAGGCTGGGCTGGCGTTCGGATGAAGAGGAGTTGAACCCGGCAGTAAACAGGCTATCCAAGGCCAGCCGGTGGTTTGTCTCTGTTGCAACTTGTCGGTTTCTCCAGCGACGGGAGGGCGGTAAACAAATTCGGCTGAGTCAGCTGCTGACTGGCGGGGGAGAGAAGCCGCGCTAGGCCAGGTAAAGACTAGTGGTATTGCTCTGATCGTCGTACTCGTATTTACTCGATTCTTACCATTTTCTAAGCTTCGTTGATCAATTCGATGTAGAGGAATGCTTTGTACAACTTCACCTGACAAGTGTCCGTGTCCACAAAAGGCACAAAAGTCATTTGCTATTGTGAAAGCTTCAGTTCTTTACATCTCTGGATACTCCATCAGACCCTTTCTCATTTGTTTCCTTGGGTCCTCGACTTGACTAGACCCGTCAATCTGCGACTATTTACTCCAGTTCTGGCCCGCCCGCGCGGGTTTCCACTTGTTCCCTTCTTTCTAGTCTACCACTACTGAGCTAGTAGCCGCTGCGCCGCTGCTGCTTTGCAGACCGACCAAACCAAGAACAAGAACAAGCTTGCCTGCCCCGTTCCACCATCCACTCTCACTCCTCCTCTGTTCCTCCCCGTTGTCTCTTGTTCTCTTGCTTCTGTCATTGCCTGCTTCCTTTTCGTTTCTACTTCCTCCCTTCATACTATTCTAATTGTCAATTTGACACACCAGCGTCATGTCTGGTCGTTTCGTGCGTTCTTCTAAGTACCGTGAGTTTTCCCCTACCCCCCTCCCTCCACTTTCCCCTCCGATTGCCCGCAATCTGACAGGTAGCAGGACACGTCTTCGGACGGCCGACGAGAAAGGTGCGCGACCTTCCTTCTGATCTATCGCAACCCGACTCGGTCCTCACAACTTTAACAGGAGCAATGCTATGATAATCTTCGTATTTCCAGAAATGCCTGGGATACCAACCTCGTCAAGGTCCGGCCACTTTCATCGCCCCTAAGCCGCCTCCGCCGGATAATCTGACCGTGCGACTAGGTTAACCCCAAGTACCTCTCTGTGAACTGGGAGGCTGGTGGTGGTGGTGCTTTTGCTGTCATCCCCTTGGAAGAGCGGGGCAAGCTGCCCGAGCGCATGCCTCTGTTCCGTGGTCACACTGCTGTTGTCTTGGACACCGACTGGTGAGCAACGGCCGACATTCGCAGTTCCGGAGGAGTAAGAGTGAGCTGACGTGGCTAGGAATCCTTTCAACGACGACCTCATCGCGTCTGGTTCCGACGACGGAAGGGTACAATAATTCGATCACGTTTGCGATACCCCATCGAACAAACAAACTAACAGGTCGCGTGATAGGTTCTGCTCTGGCGTGTACCTGAGGGATTCACCCTCTCCCCGGATGTTGATCCCGATGAGATTCAAGATGTGGCTCCTGTTGGCAAGCTTTCCGGCCACCCCAAGTATGTCTCTCATCTAAGCATCCTCGTTGCGCTTTCCTATATAGCGCTGGGCCAAACTCGCTAACGCCATCATAGGAAGATCGGACACGTTCTCTTCAACCCCGCGGCCGAGAACATTCTGGCCACGGCTTCGGGCGACTACACTGTGAAGATCTGGGATATCGAGGCCGGCGCCCCTAAATTGACCCTGAACTTGGGTGATATTGTGCAATCGCAGTCCTGGAGCGCAAACGGTTCCCTCCTGGTCACGACCTCCCGAGACAAGAAGCTTCGCATTTGGGATGTGCGTCAAGAGCGCCCCGCGCACGAGACACAAGGACACTCGGGAGCCAAGAACAGTCGCTCTGTCTGGCTGGGTGAACGCGACCGGATCGCGACAACCGGTTTCTCCAAGATGAGTGACCGCCAGCTGGCGCTGTGGGATATCCGCGCTCCTCGCGAACCTATCAACGGGTTCAAGACTCTTGACTCCATCTCTGGTGTCTGCATGCCATTCTGGGACGAAGGCACTCAGATGCTGTACCTGGCTGGCAGAGGGTGAGTGATACTCTGTGATAGACTTGGGGCTTATCTAACCTGATACAGTGACGGTAACATCCGCTACTTCGAGCTGGAGAACGACAAGTTCGAATACCTTGCTGAGTACAAGTCCGCCGATCCCCAGCGCGGTATCGCCTTCATGCCCAAGCGCGGTGTGAACACCCATGAAAATGAAGTTATCCGTGCCTTCAAGACCGTCAATGACTCTTACATTGAGCCTGTCTCCTTCATCGTCCCCCGCCGTGCCGAGACCTTCCAGGACGACATCTACCCCCCAACCATTGGCCTCAAGCCTGCCATGGGCCCCGACGAGTGGTTTGCTGGCAAGGAGGCTATCCCGCCCAAGATCTCCATGGCCAACCTCTACGAGGGTGAGGGACTGAAGGAAGTGACCGGAGTGCAGGAGAAGCCCACCTCTTCTTTGGATACTCCTGCTCCCGCCGCTCCCAAGGCCGAAGAGCCCGCCCCCGTCAAGAAGGAGGCCGAACCTACCCCGGAGCCGACCCCTGTGGCCAGACCTAACGCCTCCATGAAGGACCAGGGTGCTTCCATGGCCGCCATGGTGAACAAATTCGCCGACCAAGAAGAAGAGGCTGAGCCCGAGGAGCCGTCCGCTTTCGACGAGGCTCCCAAGCCCGCCGCTCGCACTCCCGAAGCCGCCTCGCCCACCATCAAGGCCAGTCCAGGGCACCAGAAGGAAGAGGAGACCAAGGCACAACCCACTTCCTCCAAGGTACGTACAATTCCTAACTTTCTTCTCAACCATCTCACCACCTCCGCAAAACTAACACATGAATGACAGGCTTCTCCCGCCCAAACCCCCCGCGCCGCCACCCCCACTGTCGCAGCCCCAGCCCCAGCAACATCCACTCCCTCGCCCAGCATCTCCACCAGCGCCGCCAACGCTGCCGACGCCGTGCAACGGGAAATCGGCGCCATCAAGGAACTCATCGCCGAGCAAACCAAGACCATCGCCTCCCAGGCTCAGCAGATGCAGAGCCTGACCGCGGAGATCGAATCCCTAAAGGCTAAGCTGGGCTAAGCCTTTCCCTTTCGCCTCCTCTTGCCCCCTCTCGCCTTCCTTTCCCCATCTACATCACCCATAATCTCAACCCCAGCCAAACTACCTCCAATTAGGTACTGCATGTATCTATTATGACTCTCTTTTTCTTCTTAATCTCGGAGCAAACTGCGATCTCCCTCAAAACCAAACCTATCAACGGACAGGACCTCTGATGTATACTGTATTGTGTGCGTGTGTGTGTGCATGAAATGTAACTACTTTCTCTTTTCGCCCCTCAAGCTCTATCCCCCTTTGCTGGCCCGACGGCCCCTTTTGCATAGTGATGTCTACATAACTTATAAATTGATAGAGTTGTGCATGGTTGTCTTGTTGCTAGTGTGCATATGTCTGCTTTGCGTAGCTATCTTATACTCATGACAATTACATCTACGAATTTCGGGGTATTCCCGAATCGTGGTCCTTATGCGACTCTTGATAGTGGAATCCATACTTATCGGTAGCAGCTGATTTTCATAGATGGCTATTTCATGTGAAGGTTGTGATTTTATTGTTCATACTATTCTCATCTTCGCTTTCGCTTGCGTCTTCAACCTGTGCTATTGTGCCTTGATTGGAAACGACACAAGGAGATGAAAGTGTCTCGCCATTGTCTGCTGATGATTTGTTTACTCCCTTTCATTGGGGGGAGGATGCTGCCTTTTGACCACATGAGTCTGAGAGGATGGGGACGGAAAAAGGGAAGATTCAAGAATCAAGCTCAGATGGATGTCCGTCTATATGCTCTGTGTCATGGGAAGAATATGGAGGATATGAGAGGATGATAGTTGGTATAATATGCAGAGGGTGGAAGGGGGGTGGGAGGGAAAGAGATGAGTCTGGAGATTGTGACGGAAAGTAAGTCAATGAAAAGAGATGCGCTGTCTCTTTGATTCGACCGTAGTCATGATAAGGCAGTCAGGCAGGGAGGGGAACAACTACCACCGGCCTGCTTCTCTCTCCTTCTCCACCCGGGCGGCACGAGCATCGTTTGTCTCCTCATCCTCATACTTGTAACTGAGACGGCGGCCACCACTCATCCCGCGACCGTCCCGCTTCCGCGACGACGAGGATTTGCCGCCATCCCTGTCTGCGTGCATGGCCTCGCGACGCTGTTGCTCTTTGAGCATGCGCTCGCGGTTCCGGGCTTCGCGCTCCAAGGTGTGAGGGTCTTTCTCGGGCTCGCCCGATTTGGCGGCGGCCGAGGCCGTGGTCGCCTTCTCGCGCAGGCGGTCGCCACCCTCGTCGTCACGACCTCGTTTGTCCCTTCGGGAGGAGTGGTGGCGAGAGGAGTATTCACTGCCAGCAGGCGATCCGGAGCGGTCGCGGCGGGAGCGCTTCCTGTCGCGATCACGATCACGATCACGATCACGATCACGATCACGGTCACGGTCCCTGTCCCGATCCCGGTCACGGCGGTCTCGATCACGGTCTCGGTCACGGTCCCGATCACGATCCCGATCTCTATCTCTGTCGCGTTCACGGTAGCGATCCCGATCCCGGTCGCGGTCACGAGTACGATCGCGGTCCCGGTCCCAGTCGCGGTCTCGCTCACGGCGCTTGGAGTCACGGTCTCGATCCCGCTCGTCGTCGTAGCGGCTGGAGCGGTCTCTACTGGCCCGATAGCTGTCGCCCATCTTGCTGCGGCCGTTGTCTTCAGGGATGACCGAGAGCCGATCGGCGGCGGTGGTGGCGGCATCATCCCCATTGCGGTTGGGGCTGCGACTCCAGCTGCGGTGGCGACGGGAGCGATGCGACCGTCGACCATTGCGCCTGTCCCGGTCCCTGTCGCGACGGCCGTGGGCAGTCGAACGGCGAGAATCACGCGAAGGAGAGCGGGTGCGATGGCCGTCGTCTGCACCGGACACCTCGTCGTACTTGTCGTCGCGACGGGGTCTTCTGGGCCGCTCGCGGCGTCGCTCGGAATCGTCTCCGGTCATGTCCACGCTGATGGAGCGTTGCCGATACGAGCGACGACCGTCCTGTTGGGAAGAAGGCTGAGGGGATCGTGACCGGCTCTTGGCTCTGGATGTCGATCTCGGTCGCGATCTCGAGCGGGAGGTTGATCGTGGTCGCTGATCGTCCTGAGTCGGCGTAGCGCTTGCGCTGGGAGAAGGATGATTAGTTAAAAGTTGAGCTAAGCGGGTTGAAAGTTTCTCACCTATTAGGGGGCTGCGCAGATGAAGCCCCAGATCGTGCCCCAGGAAGCTGAAAATTACGCTGTCGGAGAACGCTGGTGTTGGGCAGACCCTCTCGCATGGCTCGAGGCGCGGCAGGTGCGCCTTCCACGCCTTGACCGCGAGGCTCGGGGTACATTGCGCTGACACCAGCTCCCATGAAGGAAGCTCCTCCTCGTCCTCCACCGGAGAAAGCGCCACGCATGAACCCTCCGCCTCTTCCAAATCCAGCTCCCATCGGACCTGGCACTGGCACTGGCATTCCCATGGGGAAGTTCGACATCGCCTGCATGGCATTGACTTGGTCTAGACTATCAATGGTGGGGATCCCCTGAAGCTGGGTCTCTTCCTGTGCCGAAGTCTCCTGTGCAGCAGCAGCAGCAGCAGCAGCAGCATTGGGATCAGTGGGATTCGATTCACCATTTTCAGCATTTCCCTCGGTGGCTGTGCCATCATTGGGCACATTATCATCATGTGCGTCGACCACTTCACCGTTGGGGGCTGATTCGTTGACCTCCTGAGCGTCTCCTTGACCGAACTCCCCAGACATATCAGCAGCGCCATCCTGCGACTGAGCGGCCGCCATGTCCGGGTTCATATTAGAGGCATTATGGTTAGGGAACGCTGGGTAGTTAGCATTAGGGGGGTAAGCGGCCTGCATATGTCCACCAGCAAGACCGCCGCGGCCACGGCCACTAGGGAAATATCCACCACGACCGCGACCCCGAAAATTGCCTCTGCCATACCCCGAGCCATACGACCCGTTCTGATAATCTTGGCTAGGGAATTGTTGCTGCTGCATTTGAGCAAGGTTGGGTTGAGACATATTATATCCACCGAAGCCAGAGGGGCCCCCGTATTGCGGACCCATACCATTTGCGAAAGCATTTGGATTGAATTTATCTTGGCCTCCATTCCACATATTGTTCTGTGAGCCGTCCCATCCCCCAAACATCCCTTGACCCGCGTCGAAACTCATTCCCATGTTCATACCATTCATGTTCATCCCGTAGCCCCCAAACATACCCTGATTCGCGGCCATCGGGTCCATCGCCATTCCAGGCATTCCTAAAGTAGCATGTCAGTAAAGGAATGGCAGACAGAGATGACAGGGCGGAGACTGACCCATAGGGAAATTGAACATTCCATTGTTCATGTACTGGCTCATCGGATTGAAGCTTCCGGCGTTCCAGCCCATGTTGGGAAACATGCCGGCGCCCGCGTTAAAGCCCATACCGTTGGGAGGCACTGACCCCGGCTCCCCGCCCTGGGAGACATCTTCCTCGTTGGCCTGAGCGGATTGGTTCTCATCGGTCGGACCATCCTCCTGAGCTCCGTCTTGGGCGGTCTCATCTAAGTGATCCGGTAGAGGCGCTGAAGAATTCTCGTCATTTTCGCCCTGCAAGAGTATCGTGTTAGCGGGGCAAACTATACTTAATTTCGGAGGCCTACCAGAGCAGAAGCCTCAGCAGGTTCGCTGCTGATGGCGTTGTCCGCATTGGGCTCTGGATCGTTAGATCCGGTAGTGGGCTCTTCAGTGACATTATCAACAGGAGCAGTGCCAGATGCCGGACCGTCCTCTGCGGGCTGATCCCCAGCACCAGTTGCTGCAGCCGGAAGTTCCTGTTGAGCTGGAGTCGCATCCGCGGGCGTCGCCGGCGTCGCCGACTGCCGTTCTTTCTCGCGCTTCTTTTCTTCGGTGCGAAGGAAGGCCTTGAGGGTAGTTCGAAGGGCTTTGTTCGGTTTGCATAGATCAGAAGAGAGAGGAGTATGCGCGCAGACGGGGCATGTTTCGGGGAGAGACACTTGGCCTGATCATTGCGGATTAGCTAAGACGACTGGGAAAGAATCAAACTGGAAGAGGTCGCGCGTACAGTTCTCGCAGATGGCTTGGTCGCAGCAAGGAAGGCGGAAAGCGTTGACAGCCAGTTTATTGCAAATGGCGCATCGCAGCTTGAACGGAATCTCATCCTGCGTCAATGAGCTGTCCGGCGCAGGGAGGGCTGATCAGTCATCACAATAAACTATAGAACGAAGACACAAAGATCTAGCCTACCTGGCGATATCCATCAGGCCCGAAGGCTGGTCTGCGACAGCCATCGCGAAGATCACCACCGGCTCTGTTCTGGAGGGTAGTGGAAAGCGAAGAAATCAATCGATGGGGACGAGAGACGTGCGGGCGACTGATGTTAGGAGAAAAGAGAGGTGGAAGCCAGAATGGCGAAGATAAACCACATGCTCAGTGCGCCATCAACGGGAGACAAGGGCCATGCCTGCTGGCGTCACCACAAGTGAAGCAATGTTAAGATTTGGGGGAAATTAGCTCAGGTGGTGAATAGCGATCGCGATGGGATCACGCATTTGCCTGCCGGGACCAAATTTGGAGGGTCGGACAGCGGGCCGGAGCGGAACAATAATACTTCCTCCCCGGCCGCGGTCTCTCTCGGTTTCATGACTTGAGTCTCAGCTCGCTCTCTATCAACCACTTGAAACACCCACCACCTGCAGAGGAGGTCAAGTCACCTCGTTTGACTCAACTATAACTCCGCGTATTCTTCTCGAATCCAACAGCAACAATCGCAAAACAAATTGAACAAGAACTCTATGGGTCAAAAAGCTTACAGTCCCTACCCCCTTAGGACTCTTGATTAATCTTATTTGACTATCACTATGTACCTGTACAACCTAAATATCTCTCAGAACGTGTTGTGTTTGTCGATCGCACGCGTCTGATACATCTACAAGTACTGTACTAAGACATGTCATGTTGGTGACGATTGATTTACACCGCCCGGCGTTTACGGCGTGATCAGTGTTATAAGGTTCGCTGCATTAATCCCATGTATGGCAAGGCTCACGACAGAGCAGCAGCAGCAGCAGCAGCAGCACCTTCTTCCTCCTCATCATGAAGGTAGAGTACTTGGTTGCAAGTGAGTAAGCACTAGGCTATGCGCACCTGGCAGCCGGAATTGTCCTCCCTTCCGGTAACTTCCAATCTACCTATGAAGGATCGCAAGGTGTTCATCAACCCGCATGCATCCCAAGTTCTCATTTGACACGTAAAACACTAGGCAAGGCAACAGGGGCAGGCACCACCAAACAATTAAGCAGCACATGGTCAGATTAGATCAAGTTAATTTTATGCCGTCAATGACTTGAGGATGGCTAGAATGAACTGGCCAACAACGAGAGATCCCCCAAACAATGGCGATACCCACAAGTTCCGGTTTCTGCCTGATTGTCGGGTCTCTCGCGCCCCTCTTGAGTCTCAAGAGCTCTTATTATCATCATCAAGTGCCGTGGTAGTAATGGTGATGCCCTGTTTCGAAGGCAGGAAAGGGAAATGGGGGAGGGGTGAGAGGGTATTACTCATGATCAATCATGATCACGAAGGGAAAGTAAATAAACACAGAACACAGCAAAGACTATGGAAACTATGGCTCAGCTCTTCCATGCAAGAGTTGAGTTGAAATGCATCAAATCACCTGTATGACTCCCCTACCCCCGAAAAAAAAGGGATAGGCTGTGTAAGGTAGACAGGCGTCGGAAGCAGGGATGAATTTGCATCATCGACCTCGCTGACTCGACGGAATGAATCACGCGCGGTAAAGGTAAATGCAGTCAAGATCCAATCAGTGGGTAAACCAGATGCCATAGTTCTACGGGCGGGGTGGCAAGGAGGGAGTGGTTCGTTCGCTGGGGGAGTGGTAGGCTGCGGCTGTGGTGACTGGGTGGTGTAGTCATCGTCATCAAGTCTGCGGAAGTTGAAATGAGGTGAAAGAAAGGGAAAGGGGTGTGGTGGATAAATGATGGGATGGATGGTGGTAGGGCTATCTTTTTTCCAGCTGACCAGTTGAACCCAGGTTGAAGGAAGTGGGAGAGTTGAAAGAAACTACTCGGAGTGCTCGAGAAATGACTGCCAAAAGAAAAACCAAAAAAGGAACAGCGAAAAAGAAAAACGAAAACGAAAAACAAAAACGAAAAACAAAAAGGACGAAAATAGGCAAAACCAGGCCTAGCGTTGCAGGACACAACGGAGGCGCAGGGTTAAAAAGGGCGGCCGCTGCTCCCCGGAAGGAAAGACACCCGGACCTTCTCTTCTCTGGCTGCTTGTAGCTGCTGTAGCTGCTGTAGCCACCTCCCCGGCTGCTCTTGGGCACACGCACTTTGCTGGTTCTTGACACTACTTTACACGATCTTACACTACTTTACACCACTATTACCGTATTGTCCACCTCTCAAAACACAACACAAGGGACAAAAGCTCGGGCCATCCGCTGCGCGCGATCTACAAAAACATCCCCTCCCTATCCTCTTCATTGTTCAATGATTCTTGATTATTATTATTATGATAATAATACTAATCATCGAGAAAAACACATCGAAGACTTTTGACTGTTTCTCTTTGATATGATAATCACTTAAAGGTCTCATGTCTTTCTAAAATTAGATTGAACCTTCTCACTATTCTATTGATTCTTCACTTCTTGTGACCGTTGTGACCCTCGAACACGATTTCCACCGAGTTTACTACTGGCGGTAAAGGTACGAGAAGAACCAGTTCCCCATATTTATTCTATACTAGCCTGTTTTTTTCTTGCTTCTAGGCGCGCACGCGCATTATTTTCTCATTGCCCTTGTTCACAAAAAAAAATAAATAATAATAAAAAACCCCGTTTAATCCCCACAGGCGATGACCGAACAAGACAATTCCTACCGCCCACGATCCCCTGATTTTTCCACCTTCCAATCCCCCATCTCCCCTTCCGTCAACCACTCCGTCTACCCGTTTGGGAATCCGCTCGCCCATCGCGCTTCCTACGACGCCTCACCTTTCTTCACCCCGCAGTATCAACAACCCCCGGCCCCGCCAAGCAGGGTTCCCCAGCAATACAATCAATATAATCTCTATCCCTTCGCCGACGCGACACATCTACACCCGGATATGGCTCGCCGTTCGACGCGTATCGCCCACCAGGCCGCCGAGGTCGCGCCGCAGCCCACTTCCAAATACATTGACCCGGTGGTCTCGGAGGAAGAGGAGCCTGTCCGACCTCCTTCTCCTTCTCCTCCCCCGCCTGCTCCTGTTGTTGCTCCTGTGGTGGTCCCCGTCGAGGTCAAGACCAAATTCCCCGTTGCGCGCATAAAGCGCATTATGCAGGCCGATGAAGATGTCGGCAAAGTCGCGCAGGTTACGCCAATTGCTGTCTGTACGTACAATTCATCCTCCGTACTTCTCTCGCGTGTCCGAAATCTAAAATTTGTACTAATCTTTTGTTTTTCTTTTTCTCCCCACAGCGAAAGCCCTCGAATTGTTTATGATCTCTCTCGTCACCAAAGCCGCCAAGGAAGCCAAGGATCGCAACTCCAAACGCGTCACGGCCTCGCACCTCAAACAAGCCGTGGCCAAGGACGAGGTACTCGACTTTCTGGCAGATATCATTGCGAAGGTGCCCGACCAACCGCCGAGTCGGAAACATGAAGATGATGGCAGTGATCAAAATGAACAACCGAAACGAAAGAGAGGTGGCCGTCGACCTAAAGATGACAGCGATTGATTTACATTGGGCAACGGTTCTTAGGCGCATTTTCATCTGATGATTGATTTTGTATTGTTTTTTTCGCTTTCTATATTAGTGGACTATCTGCTGGGCTATTCTCTAGACCGGAATGGAGAACGGGCGCATACTATACTCTCTAGGCGTTGCGGTGGTGGGCATGGGTGGGCTTGCATCTCGCGATGTGAACAGGTACTTTTTTCTTTTGGCTCTCTTTCTGTACTCGTTTCCTTAGGTGGGGATTGGGGATTTCGCTCTTGTCCTTTTTCTACGTCCTGGTTGATGTGACAATCTCAGTGAATGTGACGGAATCTCTTTGTACTGTAGAATAGGTACTCGTTGGTTGCAGGTGCTGAGCATCGACTGGAACTGGCATTCGAAATGCGACGAAGAAATACTTGCACTCTGCACTGGACTTGATAAGGTTTCCTTGGAACGTCGCAGTGGAAACACGACTAAACCCGATCGGATGGTACCGGGGTCCGCATCAGACTAACCCCTTTTAGGTCCATGTTTGGGTCTGAGTTCCAGCCCCAGGCACTCACTCAACTTAGTACTGCTGCTGCTGCTCTTGCCTTCTTCCTGCACATCGTTAACCTTCCCCCCTCCGACTCTCCATCCCTTCCCCCTCCTCCACGCTCACTGATCATGTTTGAGACATAGTATCATGCTGGTCCTTAAGAATCATGGACTTTGTATGTTTGACTCTTTCCTCGTATTCCAGATCCTCGTCATTTCCGTCAAAGCAAACAAACTGATACAACGCAGTGGTCTCGTATTATCGGGGGCTCCCGCTCGCTCTCTACTAAGAGCTTTCGGGCAACTACTCCCACAGAGCGATTGACCTCGTTCAAGCGAACGTGTAATACTCTACAGGTATACCATTGTCCTTGGTGGGAGCAGCTCGCGATCCCATGCTGATCTTTCTAGCAAATATGGCGCTCCAGCAATTCTTCCTCCGGCGAACAGTCCGCGACAGCCAACGCGCGCAACTGCATTGATCGGCTGATTTCCGTCCTGAGCGACGAGTCCCGTGGCCCGGCCCCTCATCCATGCCTCGCATACGCCTCCTCCTCGCAGATCTTCGTCACCGTCACCAAACTCGCCCTCTCCTCCTACGACGATGGCATGCTCCGCTCTGCGACCGTGTTCTTCAACACTCTGATCGATTCTGAGGTCGACGGGGTGGTCGATAACCGTCTCTTCGCGCGGGCGCTGGTGGATCTTGTCCGGCGGGCGGACAAGCAGTCAGAAGATGTGGAAGGGAGACTCGTCGAGCTTCTATTCGGGGTGGCCAACAACATCCGCCTGCAACCCAATATCCTTCCGGCGTGGTTTGCTCCCCGATCCGACGAGCAGGTACGGGAACAGCAGATTACAAACGGGGCGGAGTTTGCCGGTGCCATGAGAAAGGATGACTTTCCGCTGTTCTACCTGCTGGTGGAATACGTGCACCACGCGGGCCGCGCTGGCGATTTCGCTCGCACCGGTCTACTTTACCTGATCGAGACGGCATCGAGGTCGAAGAATCTCGAGCGATGGCTGATTGAGAGCGATTTGGCGACGTTGATGGCAACCGGTTTGGGCGCACTGTACAGCCAATTGGGAAGGTGCGTGTGCAATCCTGTATGGGTGTTTCAGGTCTGCCAGGCCTAACTAACCATGCCGATTTAGCTTGACGTTCCCTGAGAACACGGATGAGAACATTCCGCATATCGTGGCTCTTTCGGACCATGCTAATCAAGAAACGGCTCTTCCCCCGCTGCTGGGCCCGTCGATGGACTCGTTTATGTCGTATCTACTGTTTTGGCAGGACACGATCGACCACTGCAAGTCGGCCGAAGTGAACGGGTCACTGTTGGATCATTTCCAGGTACTGTTCCTGGAACAGCTGCTGTAATTCATTGTCTACCCAAGATGGTTTGTTGTTATACTGAGTATGCCCGCAGGTACCCATCATTGCTCGAATCTTCAGACGTCGAGGGCGGTTCGACGGCCGCGGTACTTACCTATCTCTATCGGATTTTAGAGTCGGTGAATCAAGAAGACCTTGTACACCGAATTCTCCATTTCCTTCTTGCCTCTCCCTCGGACTCAGAGCCCGTCACCATCGACATGTCTGCCAGTCGACGGAAGTCACTAGATGTGTTGGCTGCGTTTTCCGAAGAAGCCGCGAGACCTTCACCGTCCTTATTCAATCTCAGAGACCTGACTTTGCTTGGACTTCAGTCGGCTAACCGTCAGACCACATTGGCGACATTGCGTCTCATGACTGTCGTGTTACAGAGACATCATTCTTTTGCGCGGTCGTTGGTTCGGACCGTCCCAGGTCAATATGCCAAGCAGCGGACCGTGGGCGCTCTGAACGTCGAGCTTCAAGGACTGCTGGGCATGGCTACGTCAATAGTCGACGACCCGACATTGAATGATTCTTATGACAACTACCTGAAGGATGGGCTAGCGATCCTAGAATCCCGCCTTTGTATGGCCCTTTCGGAGGACAACCCAGAAGACCACCTTCCTCTCGAACTTCGACAGGATGACCCTATCGTGCACGAGCTACTCCACCGCCTGGGAAACTTCTTCACCAATAGTGTAGTTGTGAACCTAGCCCTTACAGAGGTTTTGGGGAGTATCGTTGCATCACATTTGATATCTCTCGACGGATGGCTCCTGGTAGATCCGGCGAAATATGTCTACACAGCCGAAGAAACGGACGCATCCAATCTTCTCGACCAAATCAAGCATGCTTACGAGGAACCAACGTGGGATCAAGCCGACACGCCGGCTCTCAAGTTGACCCTTCAGAAGCTCGTGCAAAAGATCCAAACCTGGCGTCAGGAGATTCCCGATTTCGATATCCTTGTCGCCGCGCGCCGGGACCTACTCCATCAGGACGATGAGCCGGCCCAAACCCCCAACCGTTCACAACGGGGTTCCCAACCGCCCACCCGCTCTCCCTCACAACGACCGACCCCGCGCGTTGAATCCGAATACGGCTCACCAACGCCCCGAGGCAGGCCCTCTGGTCGACCCTTTGATCGAGCCACCGCCAGCCCCTCCCCAACTCGGAATAGTTCCAGGGACTTTCCTTCCGCCCAAGACCTTCCCTTCCGACCTCCACGAGAAACCTCTGTCGCACGGAAGAATGCCGCCGACGAACTCCGTCGACGGCTCGAGCAGCCATTCGCAGTGAACCATCCTCTTACCCCAGGTGAAACCACCACCGTCACCACCGACAACTTAAATGAACCCACTCCAACTGAGCCCACCTCGGCTGAGGGTGGGAGTTCCGACACCGCTCAGACCCTGGCCCTAACTCCGGCATCCGAAGGTGTTCCTACGCCCGATGAACCCCCCACGAATTCAGCCGTCCTCGACGAAGAGGATGACCAGCAGGAAGCAACCTTAGGCCATGTGCTGACCAACGTGATCTTGCTATACGAGTTTCTCCTCGAGCTCGCAGCCATCGTTCAAGCACGCGGAACCTTGTTTGAGGAGGCCGGATACCCGGGTCTAGGGATTGCTCCAGCAGCGGCTCCCGTCGAGATAGAATAGTCTTCAGCCACCAGCTCGGAGAATTGGGGGGGCAAGCGGTTCACAAAACTGGGCAGGCCCTATGTGAACGAGATCAATAACGGTGACAAGGGTTATAGTATGTTCTATCTACGGCTCAATGTTCTGGTCCGAAGAGTCCTAGTCATGTAGTTTCTTTTCGTCGTATCTGTCTTAGTATATCATGGTTAGGGCTAGGATATATCAACCGTGGGGATGAAATGGATGTACAGTACTGCCATGTCTATATCAAGGGTGTTTCCTCACTCTTTTTCGCACTATTTCCGAGCATTAGAGCTGTTTCGGAGCCCGTTAACGCTTGAGTTCGGGCCTCAGGTGCGTGTTGTCCGTTTCCATACACTAAGTCCCCATTCCCAAATATATAGTAAGTGTCACGCACGTCATAGGAGTCGCTAGATCGTCGTCCATATTTGAGCCCCATTAAATAGCCAGGGATCTATATACTGGCTCGCCGGCTTTCTGTTGGAGGGCTCTTCTCAGTGCTAGTGAACTCTTCATATCTGGATACGGTTCCTATTGAGAGGGGTCCACACTCCAGCAGAGCCTACTCATATTTGACCGTCGTCATCATCATCATCATCATCATCATTATCATCGCAGCAGATATCTCCGATCTGCAGCGCAAGTACCTTCGCCTTGGAGCAGAGAATATAGAGTAGGGTACTTGCACTGCGATGCCATGGGCAGACACCCCTTGAACGATAACCTATCTACTTATCTACAGATATACCATACATACTGTACATACAGCATCTGATCCCGAATGTCCCTACCTACCTTCTTACCTAGCTTCTTACCTACCTTCCTACCTACCTACCTCTCTGCCGTAGCCATAGCGTTGAGCAAGAAGCAATAACCTCCGAATATCCCGAAATGCCGAAATCCATAGGTTTAGATGTAAGAACAGTCGGTCCACCGCCACTACTGAACACAGACACCCGCATGCGCACGCTCACCCATTCCCGTTAGCTGGAGACCGTCCAATCCACCCTACACACCATTCAGGGCCCCGCACATCTCATTCCCCATACAAACTGACTGACGATTCCCCCAAATCTGGAAACTGAACTACCATGACCGGAGGAAAGAGGTAAAGAAGAGTAAAGAATACATTGCACAAGACTCCACTACCGGGAGAATATCGAGTTCATTTCATACACAACATGGGCTTTGGAGCAGCACGTGAGGAAGGAAGGGAAGGAAGACGGAGGCCAAAGTACCCTACCAAACCCACCTGCCCCGCGTCCACACGCGGACGAAATCCACCTTCTCCTTCACACCTAACCCGACCCGCTTGACGCGGCCCAACCGCGCCAGCGAGTCCGCGACGTGGTCGAGGAGCGCCGCGTCGGAGACGCCCGTCGCCTCCGGGGAGGACAAGGCGCTGCGGGGTGAGGCGTCCAGCGTGTCCAGGTAATTGGTGT